CCAGAAATCTCCACACAGCTCCCAAGATGACCATTGTTGATAGTTTTTTTCTCTGTGTGTTAATGTGGCATTGGACTGTACATTTTTGTAAAATGTTCTTTAGCATGTTTTTAATATTTCCATATCATTAATATTTTTCTTCAAAATTATTTTAAGATGACTGCTTAGTATTCATTGTATAGTAGTGTCATTTTTAAGACTGATTGTGAAACATTCACATATTGAATAAATATACTTATTGGTAAATCTCTGTAAACATCCATATTTTTCCTTAGTATGTTATTGTAAGTTGAAATAACAGGTGGAATAGAGTATACATATTCTAATATTGCTTGATAAACTCTAGTATTTATTAAGTTTTAAATTCTGTAATCAAAAAGAAAAATGTGAATCAAGAGAAACCTCAAACCATAAAGACTAGCCAGTATAGCCTATGGGAATGCCATGACGTATATTACAGACATAATTCTCATTTTAATATTTTAATGGATAAAAAAATTACACATTTATTTTTTATGGTTAAAAGTTTTTCATAAGAATCTTGCACTAAATATTTTAACATGAAATATTGTATATGGCAAGCATACAACTTAAAGCATAAAACAAATACTAGCATATCTAGTGGCAGCTTAAGAAATAAACACAATTTTGTAATATTAAATAATGTGACCAAAATATTTTCCTGATAGATTTTAGTTTTAACTGCTTAGTTTGGTGTTTTTTCTAATTTTTCATTAGGGCATTCAACCTCTGCATTTTTTTAAGGCCTGTGGATTCATGTTTGTTTGCGGGATGACAAAGTGGCATTAGTACAACAGGGATGTGAAAGGGACAATCTTAGGATTGGTGTTCTATGTGTTCCATACTTTTAAGTAAATATAAAGGATGGATTTGATGTTATCCAAACTTGTTTTGGTTAATCATTGTGGTTAAATGCGCAATTTCTCTTTTAATCAACCATAAAATGACTTCTAAATGGACATCATTTTAATAGTGACCCAAGAGAAAGCCTCTCCCCTTTGTTTTTTAAAATTTTATCTTATTTATTTATGCATACAAAAGCTGGGGTTTAGGTTAGAGCTGTGAGGGGTAGAGGATTCACCAGAGACAGAGTGGGGAGCAGAACACGCAAATCTACTGAAATACACTGCTGAGGGGAGTAGCAGGTGAGATAGGAGAGGTCTACTGTGCCATGTGAGTTAGTGCCCTGGCCTAGGATCACATTTGTGCTGCAGTGGCTGCTGATACTTCATAGTGCTGAGATTTAACCCAGAGAGGCCCTCACCTTCATTTTTTAATTCATTGTTTTTAAAGTGCTTATAGTGACATTAAGTACTTCATTCATACTGCTTTTTAGCCATCACCATCCAATCTCCAGATCTTCTTTCACCTTCTAAAACTGAAAATCTATACCTATTAAACATTAATTCCATATTTACCCCTATTCCTAGCCCCTTGCAATCATCATTCTTCTCTCTCTCTGAATGTGACTACTTTTGGTACCTCATATAAGTAGATTCATACAGTATTTGTCTCTTTTTGAATGGCTTATTTCACTGGCAAAATAACCTCAAGGCTCATCCATATTATAGCATGTGTCAGAATTTCCTTGATCTGTGATTTCTTGTTTTTGCAGGTATTTTAAGTTCCATATATTAATTACTTAAATGCATTTACTTAGGTGAAATTCTCTGATTTGTTTTCCTAAAGAGTAAAAGGAATGCTCCTTTGAAAGCTTTTAACAATCCTGTACATACTGATTAATGTTCATAGCAGCATTATCCACACTAGCGAAAAGCTGGAAACAATGTGGTATATTCATACAGTGAAATATTATTCAACCTTAAAAAAAGAAGGGGCTTCTGATACATGCTATAATATGGGTGAACCTTGAAAATTCTATGCTAAGTAAAATAAGCCAGACACCATGACAATGTTATATGAGGTCCCTAGAATAATCAAATTCATAGAGACAAGGTAAAATAGTATTTAGTAGGGGCTGAAGGGTAGAAAGAGCAGAATGAGGAGTTTGGTGTGTTTAATGGTATAACATTTCAGTTTGGGATGTTGAAGCAATCTGTGGTAATGCTTGCCCAACAATGTGAATGTGAATGTGCTTATGTCACTGAATTTTATACTCTAAAATGGTTAACATGGTACATTTTATATTATCTATTTTATCACACTTTTGGAAAATAAAATATACACCCAAAGAACTAGCTTAATTACATTATTTTAGCTGTGTATAGAAATGACTTCATAGAACAATGACTAAATACTTTGTATTTGGATTTTTACGCAAGGTTTATATAAGATAGTAATTTGAAGATATTCCCCACATCTCATGGCTATGAGAGTCTTGTAGCTCCACTTAAGACTATTGATGAGAATTTCAGTCCACTGTGACATGTCCCAGTATAAATTCTCCCTTGAATGTAGTTCTAGGGAAGTTGTTTTACAGGGTGAATTGCTGCTTGCTCTCTGCATGAGATAACAAGTAATCTAACTTTCTGTTTGGACTGTCAGGAATTGAAAGCCATCTTTTATGCTAATACTTTGTAGTGATTAGCAGGTCAAAACAGTTAATTCTTTGGAGAATTAGTAACCCTCCTTAAGTACATTCCTGCTTCTGAAGCAACTTGGTTATAATTCAGTATCTGTTGGTCTTTGCAATTTTAAATGTTTCTCTGTCCCACATATCTTAGTACTGTGTTCCTATCACATAGGCACTTATATTCTGTTTCTGGAAAATAATTCTCATATCCTTGAGGTTCCACTAAGAGCTCTCCAATGCACTGAATATATGCCACATTGCCTGTTTTAAATCAGATAATCTCCACTATTGCTGTCAATTTTGGTTTTAAACATAGCTATCCAGGTGTTTTCTAATGATGCAGTATTAAACAAAACCTAAAACCATTCACATGGACAATCCTCTATGCATAATCCACATGTCCATTCACATGGACAATCCTCTATGCATAAAAACTACAGTTCTGCTTTTTAGGCCCTGGTTTTTAACTGCTTTTTTTTTTTTTCTTCCTTCAAATATCCAGTCAGCTGGCAAGTCCTATAGTTCCTGTCTTTACATTTACTTTACATCTGATCCTTAGTTTCTGATCTCAGTGCCAGGCTCTCCGATCTCCTTCAGTTCTTTGTAATAATCCACCACCTAAATGTCTTCATCAGGTTGGTCTGCTATACAGAATACCACAGATAAGGTGGTCTTGTAAAGAACAGAAATTTGTTTATCGGTGTTCTGGCTAGAAGTCTACAGTCAGGGTTCCAGCATGGTTGGGTTCTGATGAAGGCTTTCTTCCATGTTGTAAACTGTAGACTTCTTCCTGTGTCTTCACAGGGTGAAAAGGGTAATGGGTCTTGCTAGGGTCTGTTTTATAAGGACACTAATCCCATTCATTCATGAGGGCAGAACCCAATAAATGACCCCAACTCCAAATAACATCACACTGGATGTTAGGATTTTGAACTGGGTTTATGCATTATCTTCTAACAGGATTCTCTACCACAATGCTCCTTTATCCAATCAGTCTCTTATGTTATGTCAAGTCCATTTTCAGTCTTGGCATTTATGGAGGCCTTCCATAATGTGGCTCAAACCAAGGGTCTGGTCTAATTACCACTACCACTTTTAATACAATCCCTGGCCCAGCCAAACTGAAGTGTTTATCTCTATAGCCTGTACCCAATTTTCTTACTTTCATGTTATTAGGTCTTCGTGGAAAGAAGTGCTTCTCCCCTTCCCACCTCTAGTTTCTGCCATTCAGAAATACTGTCCATCCTTTATATGCCACTTCCTTAACTGAACTTTTCTTGATTCTCTCCAAAGATGTAATCTCTCCCTGTTTTAACCTTCCTCTAGTCTTTCATATCTGGTTGATTGCCTTGTGGCAAATAGTACATTCTTTGTATATTTAACCTATTTGCATATTTCTCTGACCTACTGAAGCTTCTGAGATAATAAAGCATGTTTCATTCGCTGCTTACCATGAGTTCCTTTATGTCTTCTGTTTAAATCAGTACCTGGCATTCACAAAGGTACTCAAATAGGCGCGCAGACCTCTCCTGCCGCCCGCTGCTTCCCTCCGCAGTGTACTTCGGTCCTTCTGCCTGCTCTGCTCCCCACTCTGGCTCTAGTGAATTCTCTCATCCTCCCGTGCTTCTGACTGTACCCAGTGCATGTATAAACAAAACACACAAATAAATAAATAAATAAAGCATGCCTCTATTAAAAAAAAAAAAGAACAATCTGCATTGTTTGCTTAAAAAAAAAAAAAAACAAAGGTACTCAAATAGTATTTAATGCATTGAAATGGGCAAAACTCCCAACATTAGCGACTTACCCCAAGGAACAACAAAAAAATGGGTTGAACAAAAGGCCCTATTTGTATAAAAAAGTTTATTCCGAATAGCAATGTTTATTCAGAATGTTGACTCAAAGAAGACGTTGATTTCAGAACATAAAAGTCCAACCATAAGGAAGTGTTGGATAAATTAAGGGCAAGGTCCAAATCTAATTCTTTTCCTGTGCCTGGCCCATGGGAAGTATTTAACATTTACTGAATGGCATGCCCCTGCTTTGCATATTATATTCCCAAGCGCATAAGAAAGCAGGTCAAGGAAAAAACAACGCAAAACGTACGGATAACATCTTAGAAAACCTACACTGGGGCCTCGTAACAGCAGCAGGGGCCGGCGGAAGCCACCGCCGTGCGGCAGTTTAAAGGGCGTCCTCCGCCCAGCGTTGATCCTCGCGGCCCTGTGAAGTGCTCGCGGGGGTGTTATTAACTCGGCTTTACCGGCTACGGAAACTGACCTACTGGGGTCAGAAACGACTCAGGCGGAGCCTGTGCTCCCGCCCCGCCCTCGGCCCGAGGCTCCGTCCCCGCCACCCCGCGGCCGCCGGGCGTGGCGCTGGGGCCTGGGTTTCCTCTCCGGGCCGGCCGTCTCCCCTCGCGCGGGCGGCGGGCGGGCGGCCCCCGACCATAGAGTCCGGAAGCGCGGCCAGAGCGGCTCCCGGGGGCCGCGCGCTCCGGCCCGGGACAGCGAGGGCCGCGCCCGGGCGGGCGGGCGGGATGGCCGCGGCGCTGGCCCTGAGGGTGGTCACCGGGCTGGCGGCCGCGGCGCTGGCGGCCGTGCTCTTGGAGCACTACGGCCTGGCCGGCCCGCCCTCGCCGCTGCCCCAGCCCCGCGCCCCCAGAAGCCCGCACCCCGCCCCGGGCCCTGAAGCCGGCAACCTCTTCTGGGGTCTGCAGGTGACGCGGGGGGGCGCGGGGGCAGAGCTGTCACGACGCGAGGAGGCGCGGGTGCGGCCGTGCGGGCGCGATACGGGCGGGTTTGGGCCCCAAACCCCGGGCTGGCGTGGGGTCAGGGGGAAGTCGGCCCTCCTCTGGGGAATGCCCGGATGCGCTGCATTTTTGCCTTTTCCTTCCGCGGGAGAGAGCCGCTGGGTCGCCTCTGTAAGTGCTGCCTCTCCCTGACTCGGCTGTCTCTGCTTAATACCTGCTTTCGGCAGATATCCGACATTCACCTGAGCAGGTATCACGATCCAGGCAGAGCTGTAGACTTAGAGAAATTCTGCTCTGAAACTATTGACATCATTCAACCAGCCCTCGTCCTAGCCACAGGTAGGGAGGATTGCCGTGCTGTCCTGTGGTGCTGTAGTTTGGGTGGTAGAATACCAGTCAGGCCTGCAGCTTTTTAACTTTGGGGACTTTCAGAACAGCATAGCCTCAACCCTATGTGAGTCCTCCTCCTGCAGAGGAGAAGGGACATCATATTTCCCTTCAGCTAGGATTGAACCGGTCAAGAGCCAGTCTCTATGACTTAGTGGTTGGAACAGGCTCACGATTTCCCGTTACTGCACTGTCTGTTATATTTGTTTCTTTTGTTACTGTTGCAATCCTGGATTTGAGAAAGCATTGGGAAAGCTCTTTCATCACAAATCAAAAGTTCTCTCGCAAACTTTTCACGTTCTCCATAGTAACAATCTTGTATTGTTATTGTGGGAGTCTTCAAGTGACTTGGAACACTTCATCTTCTTCTCTTGGTACTTCTGTTATTTGGGTTCTCTAAAATCTTCAATCCCCTAACCATTTGCTCCCAAACTGTGGGAGGAGAATTCAAGTGTCTGGTTTCCTACAAATTTTGATATTTCATTTTCCAAATCACACCTTCCAGATTGCTTCTTGCTGTAAAAACAATAGTCAGATCACATATCCTAATTTTGGGATTTGGAAAATGTGTCTCCCATAGGCACTAGGTACCTGCCCAGAGTGTTGGAATTTCTAATAGAGGCTTTTCATTTTATCAGAATCTCCTGGTACATTCTGTACTGTGTCTTAAAAAAAAGTTTCATAACTCATTTCTAATATCATATCTAATATCAGGTTAAATAGGGCACTTGCTAACTTCAGAAACTAAAGCCCTTGCTGAAAAAATTTAGATGCTTTGCTGTGGACATAGATGGACTCATAAGTGCTTATGCTTACACATGTTGAGTATTTGAAGTATCTTAGTTTCTTTAGTGTGCACTTAAAAAAAATTAACTGCCTGAGATTTATTTTGCACTGTGATTCAATTCATATGTAAATCTACAGGAGACCTGACAGATGCCAAAACAAAGGAACAATTGGGATCCACACAGCAAGAGGTAGAATGGCAAACTTACCAACATATTCTGAAGAAGACAAGGGTCATGGAAAAAACCAAGTGGCTCGATATCAAAGGAAATCATGGTAAGAATCAAGATCCAGTTATAATTAAGACTAGACTTTTTTCTCCCATCAGGAGCCTAGATTCTCCAATTTAGATTGTAAAACTATAAAATGAGATATTGTAACATAGATTTAGATATACTGAGAGCCACCACTCTGAAATATAGCTATAATATATACTATTAAAACATCAGGTGTCACTCTTAGCTTTGGAGGGGAAAATTGGTATGGCCTTTTCTTTATATGGAAGAAAAGTTCTAGTAGAACCCATGCTGGTGAATCTATTTAAAATATGTGCATTTTGGTGGGCCTTCCTGGTGGCCCAAGGGGTTAAGCACTGCGCTGTGAAGCAATCCACAGCCTCTGCAGCACAAGTTCGATCCCAGGGCCGACAGAGAGCAACCCACATGGTGCAGCAGACCTCTCCTGACTCACCTGCTGCTCCCCTCAGCAGTGTATTTCGGTCAGTCTGCCTGTTCTGTTCCCCACTCTGTCTCTGGTGAATCCTCTCACCCTCCCGCACGTCTGGCCTATACCCCAGCTCTTGTATGCATAAATAAGTTTTAAAAATCTTAAAAAAAAAGTGTATATTTTGGTCCTCCCAGGTGGTGCAAGGGTTAGGACGCAACCTATGAAGTTATCCACAGCCACTGCAGTATGAGTTCAATCCTGAGTCGCCCACTGCTCCCCTCAGCAGTGTATTTCAGTCAGTTTGCCTGTTCTGTTCCCCACACTGTCTCCGGTGAATCCTCTCAACCCCCCCACACCTCTGGTCTGTACCCCATTTCTTGTATGCATAAATAAATAAATCTTTTTAAAAAATGTACATTTTGCTATGTGAAAGAACCCAAACCCATACATCTATATCCTGTGTGATCCCAGTGATAAGATATTGATATTAAAGAAATGACAGACAAAGAACAGATTGTGGTTGCCAGGGGCTGGAAATAGGAGAAATTAACTACATAGAGAATGTCTTGAGAGAATTTTGTGGGAACTATCCTGTATCTTGCCTGTAGTGGTAGATACATGACTATGCATTTGTTAAAGCATATAGAAATATGCATCACAAAAAATGAACTTTGCTGTGTATATTAAAAATGAAAATGCAAGTACATTTCCCTATGCATGAGGAAAGAAATGGCTACTCCTTCCAATTTTTAAGATTATCGTGTTTGCGAAGAAATGAACGCTTTTCCATAAAGAGTCCTGATGGTAGATTTGTTTGTTTTATAATGGCTGATTTTATTATTATTTACTTAATTTGTTGTTTCATTTGATCAATTGATTCTGATGAGTACCTATTTATATGTAAATGATAATTTTAAACAGATAAATTTATCTACTAAAATATGTAGCTAGTAGTTTGATCAGAATCCTCTTTAGAAATGAATAGTTCTTGCAATGCAGCTAGGAATTATAAATTAAAATAGGATATCTGGCCTACAATTGTCTCTGGTTTATTTACATTTTCTTTTTTCCTGATCCTAATTAGCTATACAAATCAAAAAAATTTTTGCAGTAAATAGCAAATCAAGCAATAAATATCAAACAGACCCCTTTGATTAAAAAAATTAGATAATCCTTTGGAATTCATAATAATCTAACTTTACTTATATAGAATTTTAGCTTTTTCTCTAAGTTAATTATTATAAATATAGTAGATCCCCAGAATTCAAAGCATCTGGACAATTTTAGCTAATGCAGTCTATGAAATAGTTGTATTCCAATTTAAGTATTCTAAGATGTTCTTAATCTTACCCCTTACCATTATCTAACTCCTTTTTTACTGAATTGTTTTTAAGATTTAAGAAGAGAGGAACTTTGGCCCTGTTTTTAAAGTGAGCACCTGTTATGGATCTATATATATCAGACTTGAGTCTAGTCCTTGTTGGCTTCCAAAATCTCATGATTAAAACAAAAGCAACAATGGTCCAATCTTACTGATTGTTCTGAATTGTATATAATTCAGTATTATTCTCTAATATACTAAGTGGTACCTTAAATGTTTCAGATAATCTGCAGTCCATTAAGTTTCAAAAATTATCAACCTCATTAATTGTGTTTTACCATTTAAAGTGTTATTGAAAGAATTGTCATTTTCCTTTAGTTGATTAACATGTTTGCATTTTTCTTTTTAATATAGATGATATTTTCTCTTTTCTTTTTATTAAGATGCATTCAACATTCCAAGTCTGGACAGTGTCGAGAATTATTACAGGTACTGTAATGAACAGACCATGGTACAGAGTCTGTGTTATAGGGAAGGTATAGTCAGTTGAATGAATGAATGAAAACTTTGCTTTACAGCTGAATTTTCTATATTAAGAAAACCTCTGGTAATTTAGGAAATGATGCTTGCTTTTTTTTTTTTTTGGTAACGGATTCAGTTCTTTTTTACTTGGACTTTTTCCTTCTTTTTATTTCATCCATCTTTAATTTTTTTATTTTTGCTAAATGGTGCTTTTAATATTACACACAGACTTTTAGTTGCCATTGTTGCGTAGCACAAATCATTTGGAGCAGAGATTTTCAGCTAGAGTACTGTGGATTTTAAGAATATTGAGATACTGATTCTCTTAGCCTTGTGTTGGTTGAACAGTCCAGTGGGCACCCCTGGCTGCTTTGTCTTTTAAAATTTTCTTTATGTGCTATGAATGTGAAAATATTGTGAATGTGAAAGAATTTTTCAGTTAGAAAACTAATTCTCTAGTTACAATTCTACTTTTGGTTGTAGTTTCACTTTTAGTTCTAGGACATGAAGTGGCTTTGTTCTGCATTGTCAACCACTCAAGAAGCAAGTTTTATTGAGAGCCCATCGTTAAATAGAATCAGAGGTACAAGTGATTATATTAAAAAAGTATATAGCCTCTACCTTCAAGGAAGTCTAGTTAAGTAAGATAAAAATTGTTTAGGAAAAAATTAGAAAAGAACATGAAGAAAGGGCTGATGAAATCCTAGATTTTTTTGTTATACATGATAATTACTGAGAAATCAGAAAAGGCAGAGGTCACCAAGGGATGGACATAGAGAAGACTTTATATTTTACTTTTTCTTACTAAGATATAATTAACATATAACATTGTCTAAGTGGAAGTGCTCCTGCATATCCATGTGATACATGTATCACTGCAATTCGATTATCGCCATAGCGGTAGCGTTAGCTAACACCTCTATCACATTATATAATTAGCCTTCTTTTGTGTGAAGAGAATAATTAAGATCTAATTTCTTGACATTTGTAACAAAGTATTGTTGACTATAATTATTATGCTGTGTGTTAGATCTCCAGAACTTATCTTTAGTTGCATGTTAGAGAAGACTATGTAAGAGAAGCAAAAATTACAGCCAGTCTTAAAAGGCGGGTAGCATGTAGACAATTAAGAAATCCTGAGGGCCATATCTTACACACAAAAAATTAGAGTTTTAGAAGCCAGAATGAGTTCTTTGGGGTAATCTGAAAACAAGTATATTCAAAATAAATGTTCATGATGAGGAGTAGTGTGACATTGGATAGGTAGCTTCAGACAAATTTATGGAGGTCTTAAATGGAAGGCATAGAAATTTAGATGTGATGGGAAATTCTTCATAATTCACTTTAGGTCCCTAAAGATACAAATAGCATAATGAAAATAGTATTTTATAAGGGCGATCATACTACAAGGAGAGAGGATAGGAATAAAGGGGGAAAGCAGGAGAGATTGAAAGTATGTAGAACAAATCAGAGGGTCCCTCATGCTCCATTCATGATATGGCAAGGACCTGAGATGAATAGAAGGCATACCTACCTAAACAAAATTCATGGATAAGGGGTTGGTGACATCAGTTTGAGGATGATGGATCAAAAAGCGATGATTTACTAACATATAATGAGAGTCAACACAGTTTGGAAGACTAGGCTGTTTACTTCTGTTAATATGACAAAGGAAAAGGACAAAGATGAAAATCTTTCATCTCCTATTAACTGTATCTTTAAGTTAATAGAACTTAGGGTCCTTCTAGTTATTGAGAAAGTCAAATCATTAGTCACATTAAAGCTTCTTTCACTTTTTGTTTTTGTTTCTAACTCTGTAAACTTTATCTAAATTTAATAAGTGACATTTTGCTGGGAATAGAGCTTTTACAGATGTTATAAGTCCAAAGGGGGGAAAAAATCTTAAAGTTAAATCTTGATATTAAGAATGTTCAGAATGCCAAAATGCAGAATTCAAAAAATGTTAACTATGATATATTTTAACCTTTGTTTTCAAGTAGTTGGATTATTTTGGAGATAGTTGGATTTTAATGTGTTAAAAAATGTAGGAAAAAAACCAACATCTGTGGAATTATAGGATCCTGAAGAGTAATTCTAAAAATGAATTAAGCAGGAAAAATGTAAATAAAAATTTTAATGAGAAAAAGACCCTTTAAATAGAAATTTTTTAAAAGTCATTAAGAAAGGCAATGGAGGGGCCTCCTAGGTGGCCCAAGGGGGTAAGTGTTGCACTATGAAGCAATCTGCAGCATCTGCAGCACGAGTTTGATCCCTGGCCGGCCAAGGAGCAACCCACATGGCGCAGCAGACCTCTCCTGACTCGCCCACTGCTCCCCTCAGCAGTGTATTTCAGTCAGTCTGCCTGTTCTGTTCCCCACTCTGTCTCTGGTGAATCTTCTCACTCCCTGCATCTCTGACCTGTACCCCAGCTATTGTATGCATAAATAAATAAATCTTTTTTAAAAAAAAAAGGCAATGGCATGAATTAACTGCTAATTATAAAATCTATGGCACTACATTTTTGTTTTATTTTATTTTTAAAGATTTATTTATTTATGCATATAAGAAACTGGGGAACAGGCCAGAGATGTGAGGGGTAAGAGGATTCATCAGAGGCATAGTGGGGAACAGAATAGGCAGAGTGACTGAAATATACTGCTGAAGGGAGCAGCAGGTGAGACAGCTGTACCATGTGGGTAGCTCCCTGGCTGGGGATTGAACTCATGCTGTAGCGTCTGTGGATAGCTTCGTAGGTTGCATCTTAACCCTTTGTGCCACCAGGGTGGCCCGGCACTACATTTTTAAATATTTTGTGACTGATGTGACTTTAAAGCTCTCTGACAGCTCAGAAGTTTATTTGTATTTTTTCATGTACATTCTTAAGTAAAACATAAGACCCTTAGGTATTGATATTTTCTTATAATGTTCTGACACTTTAATAATATAGGTATGCTCCCAATATAATCTATGCTTCATATTTATGCAACAAATACATAATAGTGCCTGTTCTGTGCACTATTCTTTCTTCCTGCTCTTCACTTTCCAACTTTATGGACATCTGAAACTGTTGATACTTTCTTTTACTCATTTCATCATGGAAGTCCTGAAGTCTGGGCATGTCAGACAGCATCACCTTAAACCATAAGATAGCCAATTTTAGCAACTATCTGCTTGAGAGAATTTTATTTGGAGGGGTTTGAGCTCATCCATTCCTCCAGATCAGCTTTTCTCAAACTCTGGTCCATGTATCTCTAGCTTTCTGTGAGCTTCTAAAAGGCACTCCTGAAAAACCTAGGGGTGAGTGCAGAAGAGAGTTCCATAGACAAATAAGGAAAACAGTGCATCTTTCACCCAAACCTGAAGACTCACATGAACATTTAAGTATATTAATTTTTATTATATTTGTTTCTTTTACCCTCCACCACACTACCTGTGCCCATACCCCATGTACCTCCCTCCCACTGTTGGTATTTAAAGTGATGAAGACTTAAGGAGGTTGTGTTTGTTACCAATATGTTTTTAGGAACTACAAAAGATTAATTGACCCACACCTCGACTTACATTTTTCTCCTGGCTTGATGACTTCATCTTTGCAAGGCTTTGATGTGAGTTAAGCATATGTAGTCCTATTTCAAGAAATAAACACCTTTTGTATCTTACTACACTAAGAATGCTGCTAATTATTTAGTAGGACCTCACTAGATTTTATTAACAATTGGTACCATTTCACTGGATTCTGATCGATCCCTTTTTAAATGTTTAGTAGACTGCCTACTTCTCTATTTGATCACCTTGTATTCGGTTACTGATAAATTTGATTGCCTGAGTCTTGGCAATGGGAGAAAATCTTTAAAATTTCTTTTCATCAGTTTATCCATTGTGGATCTAGTTTAGTGTATTTCTGTGTCAGATTGTGAAATTTTCATAGTTAGGCAAAATCTAGTGTGATATTAGTGAAGGAATTGAAACTCTTTTTGTTTTTATGATTGCACTAAAACTTTCCTGTCTTGTATTTTTTAGGAAATATTCTGCTGTACGTAGGGATGGCTCTTTCCATTATGTCCATAGTACTACCTTTGGCAACTATTCTTTCATCTCTGTGGATGCCACCTTAAATCCAGGCCCTAAGAGACCCTATAATTTCTTTGGAATTTTAGATGAGGTACAGTAAAAATTTCACTACCCTTTGTAGCTAACCTATTTTACTTTTTTCTTGGATACACATGACTCACACGTAGCTCACTTTTAAGTTATCCTAGGTAAACAATTTCTTACCTAGAAATGCTGGAGAAAAATTTTGCTATGCTCACAAGTATGCTAGAAGAAAATACCAGCTATATCAGCACTGTTATCCTTTTTCTTTTATGAAAATCTAGCAAAGAAATTTACTCAGTCAACATTTATTAAATATTTATTAAATCCAGGATGTACTTCTCAAGATGCCGGACATAGAGCTTTGTAAATGATATAGTATATTTCTAGATCCCTACATTGGCCATTTCTAATTAAATATATTTATTTTAAGAGAAGGGTAACAATTTTCTTAGGTACTTTTGTGAACTAAATGAAAATTGTTGCATGAATAAAAATGTCTGGAAAGTCACATCTGAGAACCTCTCATCATTTTATGCTCAGCAAATGTCAACTCATTAAATATTTATTTATTTATTTTTAAGATTTATTTATTTATTTATTTCTACAAGAACCGGGGTACAGGTCAGATGAGCAGCAGGAGGGTGAAAGGATTCACCAGAGACAGAGCGGGGAACAGAACAGGCAGACAGATGAAATACACTGCTGAGGGGAGCAGCGGGCGAGACAGGAGGGGTCTATTGCGCCATGTGGGACTCTCGCCTGCTGGCGGGGATAGAACCAGCGCTGCAGAGGCTGCAGACAGCTTCACAGCGCTGCGCTCAACCACCTGCGCCACCAGGGGAGACCCCTCATTAAATATTTAATAAACATATGCCTGTATGCAAGACATATATGCCCATATGTAAGAATGCAGAGGTGGTGAGACCAAGTCCCTGACCACTTAAGAATATTTAACCTAATGGTGAGGTGAAAGACCAGCATGGAGATAACTAAAATAAAGTGCTATGAGGGTTGAGAGGAGCTTGAAATCAAGTACGCAGAGTAGTATTAAATACAATGTTAAGGGCCTCCCCGGTGGCGCAGCGGTTGAGCGCTGGGTTGCAAAGCTGCCCGCAGCCTCTGCAGCGCCAGTTCGATCCCTGGCTGCTCCCCGGCCACCGGAGGAGGGTCCCACATGGCGCGCAGACCTTTCCTGCCGCCCGCTGCTCCCTTCAGCAGTGTACTTCGGTCCTTCTGCCTGCTCTGCTCCCCGCTCTGGCTCTGGTAAATTCTCTCACCCTCCTGCGCTTCTGACTGTACCCAGTGCTTGTATAAACAAACAAATAAATAAATAAATCTTTAAAAATAAATAAATAAATATAGTGTTAAATTAGGCCTTTTATTTAATGAAGGTATATTTTGTTTCTTGTCTATCACGTGTCTTTATAGAGAATTGGTTAGCTTATTATTTTAATCCTTCTACCTTAAAATAGTGTTTTTTTAAGATGTGAGTCAAGATTCATCTGCTTGAAAATCAGCTTGTTATCTTACCAAGTAAAGGTTGCCAGGCTTTACCCGAGTCTTACCAAATTACATAGAAACCCTGGGGGTATGACACAGGAATTTATTGCTATAAGCACTATACAGATAATATTATGGTATATTTACATATGCACAAGTTACTTTTGAAATCAACTTTATGAGGGATAACTTTTATAATATAAAATGCACTGTTTTACGTGAAGAGTTTTGACAAATATATATATACTGGAGTAACTGTCACTACAAACAAGATCAAGCTTTCCATCACCTCAGAAAGTTTTTGGGCAGTATTCACCCCTAGTCCCAAAGAAACACTGATTGGTTTTCTATCAGTACAAATTAGTTTTATTTGTTCTCAAATTTTATGTAAATGAAATAATAAAATGTTGTAGTCATATGTCTGTGAGTCACCCATTTATCCATTATATATGTTTCTGAGAACCACTGAAAATTAGGGGTTCTTTCCTTTTCATTGTTGAGTAGTGTTCCATTGTATGGATGTACTGCGATTTGTTGATAGTTTCCTGCTTTTGGCTGTTATGAGTACAGCTGTTACAAATATTTAGGTCCAGGGCTTTCTGTGGTATGTGTGTATGTGTATATATATATATATATCTTGTTTAGAGGTTTAGTTTCAATATCCTCTTTACAATATGATATACAGGACCAAAAATATTGGTGGTTCTTTTTTTACATTTATAAATAAATTTATAATTTATTTAAAAATGTATGTAATTTAAAGGTGAATGTCAATTTGCTTATTTATCAAATAGGGATAATAACTGTCTTACTTAGCACAGAATTACTTTTGGAATCAAGTGAGTGGTAATGTATGTGAAGACAGTTTGAAACTTAGAGAGGTTCATGCAGGTCATTAGTTTATAAGGATTAAGCCCTTGACTTAATTTACCTAGTATTGTGAAACTTTAGGGCAGCTGTTTAACATTAGATTCAGCCTAGGCCTTCATTAAAAGTTCTTCTGTTTTTCTCCCATTTCAGAAACAAATGGAGGAACTTTTATTACTAGCCAAGGAAAGTAGTCAGAGCAACCACAGTATTTGGTTTGGACACTATACAACATCTACTATCCTTTCTCCAGCACCAGGAATTCGGTCAATAATGAGGTGAGTCAGACTTCCAAAATCAAAATAAATTGTTTAAAATTTTTTTGTGTTCCTCCGTTTATCTTGCTTTCCTGAAGAGATATTTTTATTAGTTCGGCATCACAAATTATCTTTGTTCATTACATTTATTTTTCTTTGGTTAGTTCAGCGACAGCTTATTTTTGTGGGCACCTCCATACACTTGGTGGACTGATGCCTGTGTTGCACACTCGTCATGCCCAGGGCACTTTGGAACTTGAGGTGGGAGACTGGAAGGACAACAGAAGGTAAAGGAACAAAATAAAACATACTCATGGAAGTTTTGTTAACACAGTGATAGCTCTCTTTTGGCTATGGTGAGTGATTCCACTTGAGGAAAAGCTTGTGATAGCTCTATGTTTCTGTGGTGACAACGGTATCTGTCAGTCTTTGTCATTATGCAAGTCCTTGTTGCAGCAGTTATGTTTGTCTGAAACTATGTTACCTTATATTTTCAAACTTCATCTGTCAGGAAATAGTTCTGGACTTGAGGGTGCATGAGAATTATGGAGGAGTTATTAAAAAATAAAATTTTCAGGTTCTACCTCTAGAGATTTTGCTTGTGTTGGTCTGGGTTAAGATGCAGGAAATGTCATTTTATAAATGAAGGTTCTCTATGGACTACACTGAGAAACACTAGGAATAGAAATATGTCATATCCCCCCTGAATTATTTATATTGACTGTTCTAGTTGTTGCTATAAGATGGTTATGATTTAAGTTCTTTAAATAGGTGAGAGTGGTTTTATTGAGGTTAAAGTCTATGAAAAGCTAATTTATCCAGTCAGCGGTATACAGTATACTTTCACATATGTGTGTGTGTACGTGTGTATATACACATATATATATGAATAAATGTGTGTATGAAATAAATATATTTTGAGAATTAATGGGATAGTTTGAGTATAAATAAGTATCATTTCATTGTTTATTATCAATTGCTGTTTAACTTATTCAAACCCAGTGCTCTAACAATATTAGGCACTCAGTAAATATTTGTTGAGCTGAATATGTTATCTTTCTATTTTTAACTACTTGCATTTATTAAAAAACAGCTTTATATTCTGGAAGTTACTTAGTCATTACAGTTGACTTTTGTAGAAATTGTATGTAACAGCTATTCTTGAAGCCTATAATTAGTTGGCAATGGTAATTACTTTGAGCTAAGATCTATCTATTCATAACCTGTGGCTGGGCTGGGTGTGCTTTTTATCAGATAGCCTTCTTAACCTTTGGTCAGCTTCTTGATTTCGTATAAATACTACAATTACAAGTTAAATGATGTTTGTTACGAAATTCTTTCTTTTCCCACCTGTTCTCCTGTGTTCCAACCCTGGGGTTTTATTTGGAGTTTTACTGAAAAAACAAAAACAAAAACAAAAACAAAACCAACTAATCTTTACATGTCCTTTAAATATTTAAGTTGTGTTAGTGCAATGAATGAGTTTTTAAAAATAATATATTAATAATATTAGGCAGGGCTTTGTTGTGGATGCAATATATCTAAAAATATCAGTGATTTTTAACATAGCAGATATTTAATTTTTAATTTTTGTAAATCTAGTATGATTCCATACAACTCTCTTCCATCGGGTGATTCAGGAATCCAGATTTCCTCCATATCATAATGCTACTCTTTCAACACATTAATTCCAGAGCAGAGAAGAAACCATGGAGACCTCACATCCACTCTTAATTACTTTGAATCAGAAGTGTGATACATGTCACTTCTGTTCACAGCCCATTGGCCAGAACTAGTCACATGGTCTCAACCTAATACCAGGGAGACTGGGAAGTGCAGGGGAGCACATGGAATATTTGGTGAGCACTATTGTTTCTGCCACAGTTAATCATTTCTTAGTTAGAAAATTAGAAAATAACAAAACTTTGGTTACCCTTAATATACTTTTCACAGTGCACTTAGAAAATCAAAACAACTTAGCTTTAATTTCTTTGAAATTGCTGAAATAAAGCTATAAAAATGAAAAATTTCGAATTATATTCATTTTTATAATTTATATGACATTGTTAATGGGATGAAGGATGTCAGGTATTAAGCTTATGATGAATGTCCTATGTTCAAAGTATAGAAATCAGATGAATTAATTCAATAAGCATTTATTTAAAAAATAAAGTATATGCTATATTCCAGACATTGTTCTAGAGTACAGTTAAATTAATTGTTTCAGTCAGATCCCAGTTGTGACAAATGTGAAATATAAATTCATAGTGGCAGAAGAAGAAAAATAAAGAATATTATTTACTCTGCATTTGAATTTATGATCTCTAATGGTACAGTTATTATTTTTTTATATTTGTTCTATATATAACCTTCATGCCTTCTTATGACACGAAATGACTAAGTTACCTTATTGTCCTCTGGTCTCTAGGTACCGGATCTTTGCTTTTGACCATGACCTCTTCAGCTTTGCAGATTGGACTTTTGATGAGTGGCCTGTGGTTCTCATCACCAATCCTAAGTCACTCCTCTATAGTTGTGCTAAACATGAACCACTAGAAAGACTCCTTCATTCAACACACATCAGGTATGTATCAGTTTTTCAGAATTTACTTTCAGTTTGATATTGATAGAAAATGAATCATTGCGACTGAATCCCATGTGGAAGCTATGAGATGCCCCATTTTAGTTTTCTCAAATATCTAAACATTATGTAAAAATAAATTGCTTACTGTTTCATTCCCATTCACTTAAAAATATATATAATTTCTTAAACTGCCAAAATTTTAAAACTACCCAGGAACCCATAATTCTTTATTAGAGCTATGTATTTTATTCCATCCTTTTTATGTACATGTTTTTACATTGCTGTAATCATAATGGCTATGTTCTTTTGTATCCTGTTTTTTTTAATCTACATTATATATCAGAAACTTGTTTTTTTATTTTGCTATATATAGCCTTCTAAAAACTAAACTTTATGGAACTGGAAATTCAGTTGACATGTGAATTTAACAGTGTAAATTAAATAGACTTACAACCTCTTTCAAACATTTCTGAGTTTTCCTTCTCAGACTTTGTTTTTCAGGCCTGTTTTTCCATGGCTGTAATCATAGGACATAGTCTATTCTAATTCCTACTTTTCTGTCTCAACGAGAGTATGTCCCACAATTTGTCCAACTATTTTCCTGTTTCATTGGTGAACTTTAAGGTTCTTTTTCTAATTTGGGATGAGCATTGGGTACATACAGATTCTTCCTTCATTTGAATAATTTCTTTAGAATTCTAGAAATGGAAGAGTTTTAATTCCTTTATGACTGTTGATAAGAATTACCCAATTACTTTTCTTGTAACTAAGATCATTATTCTTTTATTAAAAATTGTGGTAAACATATGATAATATCAATAGATGCTGGAAAAGCTTTCGACAATGTACAACACCCATTTATGATAAAGGCCCTTGAAATTCTCAGGATACAAGGAACATACCTCAACATTATAAAGGCCATATATGACAAGCCCATAGTCAATATCATTCTCAATGGTGAAAGTTGAAAGCACTTCCATTAAGATCTGGAACAAGACAAGGATCTCTACTCTCCCCATTGCTTTTAAATATAATACTGGAAGTCCTAGCTAGAGCAATAAGAAAGACATGCAAGGAATCCAAATAGGAAAGGTAGAAGTAAAGCTATCACTATTCACAGATGATATGATAATATACATAGAGAACCCCCAAAACTCCACAGAAAAAACTAATCAAACTAATCAACCAATTAGTTGATCAACTAATCAACTTTAGTAAAGTGGCAGGACACAAAATCAACATGCAAAAATCAGTAGCCTTCCTATACACAAACAATAAATCTGAAGAAGAAATCATGAAAACCATCCCTTTTATTATTGAAACAAAAAAAAATAAAATACTTGGGAATAAACCTAACAAATGAGGTAAAGGACCTATACAAAGAAAACTATAAAACAATGTTAAAAGAAATAAAAGAAGACACAAAGAAATGGAAAGACATCCCCTGCTCATGGATTGGAAGAATTGACATTATCAAAATGGCCATCCTACCAATAACAATTTACAGATTCAATGCTATTCCAATAAAAATTTCAATGACAGGGCCTCCCCGGTGGCGCAGCGGTTGAGCGCTGGGTTGCGAAGCTGCCCGCAGCCTCTGCGGCACTGGTTCGATCCCCGGCTGCTCCCCGGCCACCGCAGGAGGGTCCCATATGGCGCGCAGACCTCTCCTGCTGCCCGCTGCTCCCCTCAGCAGTGTACTTCGGTCCTTCTGCCTGCTCTGCTCCCCGCTCTGGCTCTGGTGAATTCCCTCGCCCTCCCGTGCTTCTGACTGTACCCAGTGCATGTATAAACAAACAAACAAACAAACAAAACAAGCAAATAAATAAATAAAACATGCCTCTATTAAAAAAAAAACATTTAAAAAAAAAAAAAATTTCAATGACATTCTTCAAAGAAATAGAACAAATATTGGTGAAATTCATATGGAGCCACCAAAAACCCTGAATAGCCAAAGCTCTCCTGAGGAAAAAAAGAAGGGAATGGCGGTATCACACGCCCAGACTTCAAATTATACTATAAAGCCATACAGACACACAGACCAATGGAACCGAATAGAAAATCCAGAAATAAACCCACAGATTTACAGTCAACTAATCTTTGACAAAAGAACAAAGAATATGCAATAGAGCAAAGAAAGTTTGTTCAGTAAATGGTGCTGGGAAAACTGGGTCACTACATGCAAAAGAATGAAGCTTGACCACTACCTCACACCATACACAAAAACCAACTCAAAATGGATTAAAGAATTAGACATAAGACCTGAAACCATAAAATATGCAGAAGGAAATATAGGTAAAACACTACATGACATGCACCTTGGTAACATCTTTAAAGACACATCGCCCAAAGCAGTGATAGTGAAGGAAAAGATAAACAGCTGAGACTACATCAAATTAAAGAGCTTCTGTATAGCAGAAGAGACAGTAACCAAAACAGAGACACCCCACTGATTGGGAGAAAATTTTTGCACACAACACTAATGATAAAGGACTGATCACAAAAATCTACAAAGAGCTGACAAGACTCAACAAAAACAAAGTAAACAACCCAGTCAAAAAATGAGCAGATGAGCTAAAAAGAAAACTTCTCCAGGGAGGAAACGCAAGTGGCCAATAGGCATATGAAAAAATGTTCAACATCACTGATAATCAGGGAAATGCAAATCAAAACTACAATGAGATACCATCTTACACCAGTGAGAATGGTACAGATTAAAAAAAATAGCAACAACAAATGTTGTCGAGGATGTGAGAAAAGAACTCTCCTGCACTGCTGGTGGGAGTGCAAACTGGTCCAACCACTATGGAGAGCTGTGTGGAGGTTCCTCAATTTGCTAAAGATGGAGCTTCCATATGATCCAGCAATTCCACTCCTAGGTACTTACCCAAAGGACACGGCAGGGTGGAACCAGCACTGCAGAGGTGCAGAAGCTTCACAGAGGCTGCGGAAGCTTCACAGTGCTGCGCTCAACCGCCTGTGCCACTAGGGAGGCCCTTAATTTTTTTTTTTTTTGACTAGTGAGTTAGTCAGACTTTTTTGATAGGTGTTAGGTATCAGATTTATTCATTCTTCCATTTCATCTATTCTGCTTTCACTGCTTTTCCCAGCGTTCTTTAGCTCCTCCATTCTTTTATCTCCTGCATTTCTTTTACTTCCCTCTTTAGGGACTCAATTTTATTCTTCTGATCACTGATTATTTTTCCCGTATCGTTTTTGACTTCCTTCAGTTTTTTAATCATGGCAATTTTTTTTTTTTAATAGAGGCATGCTTTATTTATTTGTTTGCTGGTTTGTTTGTTTTGTTTATACATGCACTGGGTACAGTCAGAAGCGCGGGAGGGTGAGAGAATTCACCAGAGCCAGAGCGGGGAGCAGAGCAGGCAGAAGGACCGAAGGACACTGCTGAGGGGAGCAGCGGGCGGCAGGAGAGGTCTGCGCGCCATGTGGGACCCTCCTCCGGTGACCGGGGAGCAGCCGGGGATCGAACCGGCGCCGCAGAGGCCGCGGGCAGCTTCGCAACCCAGCGCTCAACCACTGCGCCACCGGGGAGGCCCAATCATGGCAATTTTAAATTCTCTTTCTGGAAGGCTCAGAAGTTCTTCCAAGCTACTATCGTTGCAATCTGGTGGGTGGTTTTCTTTTTGTGGTGTGTCTTTTTCCTGAGGAGTTGCTAGGTTGCATGTAGTTTTTCTTCTTCCTGCTGCCTGTTTTCTAATTTGCCCTATGCTTTGGGACACTGTGTTGCTGGTACTGGCCGGCATCTTTTTGGTGTGCTCTTTCTGGGATTTCGGAAACTGGTGGTCCAAACGAGTCAAATACTGTTATGCCAGAAGTCCAGTGAGGCAGTGGTACTTTGAATATGTTAATGATCGCTGTCAAGGAATATCTCCTCCTTCTGTGTTTGTTTAATTCCAAAGGTGTGTCTTGAAGTCCCACAGACTTCCCTGGAGGTGGGGCAGCTGGATTGCACTCTGGACTCCAAATCACTGGATCCCCCTCTGGGCTCCAACTCCCTGCCAGGGGGGACCAGGCTTGTGGGGGCCTTCAGCTCACCTCTGGCTCCTCAGCGAGCCTTCTTCCAGTTTCAAGAAGTCTTTATTGAAGGAAGGTCTCTGTTCTAAAAGGGCGAGTCGGAGTCGCACTTTCCTGTGCGTGCGGTCTGCCCTGGCTTTGGCTGCCTGTTTCCCCCTCTGGGCTCAGGCTGCTGGCCAGAAGAGGCCTGGCATGGGGGTGCTTCCCAGCTCACCTCTGGCTCCTCGGGGAGCCTTCTGCTTGTTTCAAGCAGTCTTTATTGAAGGAAGGTCCCTGTTCTAAAATGGCGAGTCGGAAGGTATCAGATTTAAATGTTATATTCTCGGAAAGGGCTTAGTAGCCTTAGCACTATTTAAGACAGTACTATTTCCAGTCAGATATATTGGAAACCAAATGAATAGATACGAGGCTTGGTATTAGATTAACAAAGTGAGATGTCTTATCTGTATTCTCTTCCTATGAGAAAAATAAAGCGTTTCTTCAGAATGAACTTTGAATCCACACCAGATTGATCTTTCAAAGACAATTGATTTTCTTTTTAATAAGTAAAGGAATAATTTCTAATTTCTCAATTCAGGCTTGATGACTTATAGAATTCCAAAAGTCACCATTCAGAAAGAAACTGGGTTATATGAGTAGTCATCAATGAACAGTGGTCAAATGTGATGGTTCTGTCAATACTTACAAAATCTTTTCAAGTGTAATAAGGTTATTCTCCTTTATGAAAACCATGACAAATACCTAAAACCATATGTTTGTATGTGCTCTCTTTTTAGGGTTTTGGCTTTTTCCCTATCCTCCATTGCTTCTGTCACAGTTAAGATTGATGGAGTTCAATTAGGGCAGGCTGTTCATTTGTCTGGGCCTATTTTCATACTCAAGTGGAATCCAAGAAGCTACAGTAATGGTACACACAACATAGAAGTAATTGTCCAGGTAAGTTAGCAATTTTCAATTTTCTGTATATATATGATTAAACTGAAACACTGTTGAACTCTGATTTGGCTTAATGTTTTTTCAGTTCACTGGTAAAGCGAAAACTAACTTAATAAAAATTTTAATTTATTGTATTTAGTGTATTATATTGAAAACGGGCACTTAGGAGTAACTCTACTATTAGACTAAAAACTCGGCAGAGGAGATGAGTCTGCAGCTACTGGCCAGGTAGCTGACCCAGGGAATCATTCTTTTTTTTTCTTTCTTCCAACTTTGGCCACAGTCTTTTAAAAATGGTAGCAAATTCCTGTTATACCTGAAAATAATAGGAAAAGTCAGAAAATATGTATTTATATAACTATGCCTTTGATTGCTGTCTCCAAGTATAGGAAAATTGTGATAGGGAATTTTCAAGTCATCAAAGACATTTCGTTGAAGAAGTACACATTGATAGCATATGCAGCAGCAGTCTGTCTGCCCTTATTCTGATTCAGCTTCGGGCATTTAGTGCACTAGCACCTGCTAGAGTAGAAAATGATCATATCATCATTAACAAAGTAGAACATTTCATCAAAATGAAACTCTTTAGGAGATTGACTGTGTTCAGAAATTACATTTTTGTTAAGCTGCAAATTTCTACAACTATGATTTGATGACAGTTTTTAGCTATTTACTTTCATGTTAAGTCTTAGTTTGGTGATGACAAATAATCCTTCAGAAAACACATGCAATTACCTTGATCATTGTCACAGAGAAGGCTTTGAGCAGGAACTATTTTTTTTTTTTAAGTTTTTTTTTCATTTATATAAGCACTGGGTACAGTCAGAAGTGTGAGAGTGTGAGAGCAGAGCAGAGCAGGCAGACTGACGAAGTACACTGTTGAGGGGAGCAGCGGGCAGCAGGAGAGGTCTGCGCGCCCTGTGGGACCCTTGCCTGGTGGCCAGGGATCGAACCAGTGTTGCAGAGGCTGCAGGCAGCTTCGCAACCGAGCGTTGAGCAGGAACTATTGACTGAGCTCCTTCTAAGGAAATACTAGACACCTAGATTTTTTTTTTTTACTTAATCCATATAGTGATTGTATGTGGTGTGGTGTATAGTTGTATCCCTAATTCACAGATGAGGAAATAAGAGAAGGCGCTTTGCAGTGCCACCCATGTTTAAAGTACACTGCTTTGGAGAGAGAAGTAACTCACAGTGACGATGAGCAGGGAGGGGTAGCTGGGAATGAACTTTTAATATCTTTTTTCATTTTTTTTTAAATGAAGAAAGGCATTAAAATTTGGATCTTTTTTTTTTTAAAGATTAATTAATTAATTAATTAATTTATTTATTTATACAAGCACTGGGTACAGTCAGAAGCGCGGGAGGGTGAGAGAATTCACCAGAGCCAGAGTGGGGAGCAGAGCAGGCAGAAGGACCGAAGTACACTGCTGAGGGGAGCAGCGGGTGGCAGAAGAGGTCTGCGTGCCATGTGGGACCCTCCTCCGGTGGCCGGGGAGCAACCGGGGATCGAACAGGCGCTGCAGAGACTGCGGGCAGCTTCGCAACCCAGCGCTCAACCGCTGCGCCACCGGGGAGGCCCAAAATTTGGATCATTTTTAAAAGATTTTACAAGTACAAAGACTTGATAATACCTAGAATAAATTATTCCCTATTTTTACAGTCATGGGGAAAAAGCAGTAGCACTATGTGAGACCTGCTCGCTATGGAGTGGGCCAGTTTCATTCAAAATTCCAAATCCTGGGAATGCTTCACAACCTTAGTTAACTTCTGAGGAAAAAGACATATTTCACATTCTTTCAAACATTTTTGTCTGCTTAGTTTAATCCTAAGTAAAAATGTGAAATCACATACACTTTTTATATGTTTAACATTCTTATATTATTGCACTATAATCTGCATATCAAAAGCTACATAAATAGTAGTTTGGTATGTTTTGACATAAATATACACCCTTTAAATAATCACTGTGATCAATACAATAGATCATCCTCAGAAGTTTTCTTGTGATCCTTTACATCTGCCTTCTTTCCAATCTCATTTCCAAGCAACCACTGCTCTGTTTTCAGTTTATATGTATAACTTAAAAAAAATTATTGAATAGGGAATCTGGTCTCCTCATTCATGAATGGGAAAGTTCTGTCCTTTTAAATACAGCACACTATAGGGCCTCCCCGGTGGCGCAGCGGTTGAGCGCTGGGTTGCGAAGCTGCCCGCGGCCTCTGCGGCGCCAGTTCGATCCCCGGCTGCTCCCCGGCCACCAGAGGAGGGTCCCACATGGCGCGCAGACCTCTCCTGCCGCCTGCTGCTCCCCTCAGCAGTGTACTTCGGTCCTTCTGCCTGCTCTGCTCCCCGCTCTGGCTCTGGTGAATTCTCTCACCCTCCCGCGCTTCTGACTGTACCCAGTGCATGTATAAACGAACAAGCAAACAAACAAACAAATAAATAAATAAAACGTGCCTCTATTAAAAAATAAATAAATAAATAAATAAATAAATACAGCACACTATAGATAAAGTCTGCATTGAAACTCAAAATCTGTGAGAGAAAACATCAATTTATTATCATATATTTTACCTACTATATTTATTGAATAAGGTTCTTGGCAGAAACAGCATCTAAACTGTTAAATCAGGTTTCCTTGTTCCTGAATATCAGTGTCACCTGGGAACATCTCAGCAATGCAGATTATCAGGTCCCATCCCAAACCTATAATTCAGAAATTCTAGAGATGGGACCCACCAGTCTGTTTTAACAGTCCTTCCAGGTGATTCCTGTATGCACTGAAGTTGAGAATCAGTGCTTTAGATTATTGTTCCTACTTTGCCAATTTAAAGACTCTAGCACTCACTGTATGTTAAAAATAAAGAAAATCTCTGCTCTAATACAAGAGCATATTATTTAAAGTAAGAACATATTCAGCAATAATTGTTAAATAAATACTGATACAAGTTTGTTTTGCTATTTAAGAGCATTTTTATATGTTGGGGAATGTAAATATGAAAGAGATAATAATATGATGAATTCCCATGTATCCATCAGGCAACTTCAACATCATGGACCAATGTTAGTTCATCTACCCCCTATCCACTTCCCTCTTCCCTGCACCGTGATGTCATATCCTCTGTAAATATGTCTATATGAATCCCTAACAGATAAGGACTATTTTTAAAAAATGTATCACACCTGAAAAACTAAGAGCATTCCTTAATATCAAACTAGCTAGTATGCAGTTCTCCCAATTTTATATATAGATATGTATACTGCATTTGGTTGGTTCAAATCAGAATCTAAACAAGGCTCAAATAGTGCATTCAGCAGTTTTTCACTTCATCTTACTCTACTTGAAGATCTCTCCCCCTCTCCCGTTTTCCCCCTTGCAGTGCATTTGCTTTGGAAACTGCATCTTCTATCCTGTAGTTTCTTATATTCTGGATTTTTGCTGTTTATATTCATATGGTATAATTTACCTTCTCTTGTTTTTCTAATGGGTGATTAGATTTAAGAGTTGATGACATGTGAGTCTGTTTGCCGGCAAGAATACTTCCTTTGGTGTTTCATGCTTTCATCAGAGCCTGTAATATCTGATTGCCTCTCTTTTACTAATATTAAGATTGACCAATGTGTTCAGGTATTGTTAGCCTTATCCATTGGTATGGTGGTAAATTATAATCAGTTGGTCTATTTGGTTTTCATATCAAATATAAAATTACGAAGAAATTGGGCCTCCCCTGTGGCGCAGCGGTTGAGCGCTGGGTTGCAAAGCTGCCCGCAGCCTCTGCGGCGCCGGTTCGATCCCCGGCTTCTCCCCGACCACCAGAGGAGGGTCCCGAATGGCGCGCAGACCTCTCTTGCAGCACCCGCTGCTCCCCTCAGCAGTGTACTTCGGTCCTTCTGCCTGCTCTGCTCCCCACTCTGGCTCTGGTGAATTCTCTCACCCTCCCGCGCTTCTGACTGTACCCAGTGCTTGTATAAATAAACAAATAAACAAACAAACAAATAAATAAATAACTCTTTAAAAAAAAAATTACGAAGAAATTCAAAATTCAAAGAAATTCAAATTAAAGTGCTTATAGGAAGAACCAAAAGTAAATAGAAAAAAATGCAGCTATTCAGATATAACTGACTAGTTATAGGAAATTTAATATTGGAACATTGTCCATATTTAAATGCTCAAAAGAGTTACTTCTTTGCTGTGCTTATAACTAGGATTCTGCAGGAAGAAGTAAAAGTGTTCACCACATATTTTCTATTCAAGAAGATATTCATCTCAGATTTGATCCCCTGGCATCATTTATTCTCCTTACCGATCACTGCATCGTGGTAAGTAAATTGTACTGTTATGTGTTTACTGGATTTGATAGGTTCAAACTCACAAGTAAATCATATGTGACAATAAAACTGAACCTTTTTTTTAAAGATTTATTTTTTTTTATTTATGCATGCAAGAACTGGGGTGAAGGCCAGAGGTGCAGGGGGGAGGTGAGAGGATTCACCAGAGTGAGGAACAGAACTGGCAGATCTACTGAAATACACTGCTGTGGGGAGCAGCGGGTGAGACAGGAGAGGTCTGCTGCGTCATGTGGGTCAGCTCCCTGGCCGGGAATTGAACTCAGGCCCGGCCGTAGTGGGTGGCATAGTGGCTGGCAGTAGTTTCATAGCACTGTGACTTTAACCCCTTTTCCACCAGGGAGGCCCCAGTACGTTTAGTTTTTAATATACACCATTAAATTCTTTTCCAGAGAAGTTGTGGCAGTTTGTACACATTTCTGAGAGAAAATACACCTCACTTATGTTATTGGGTATTAACATAAAATACATGAAAGATACACACTACAAGCTTGAGAAGAAAACTTAAGCCTCCTTTAATTACATTTCTCACAGATAGCTTGTATATAGCCTCACAGACTTAAAAGACTGAATGATTAATTTACTTTTATTTTATTTACTTTTATTTCTTGACTCAACTTTTTAAAAATATGTCTAATAGGCATTGGTATCTAATTTTTACAAATTTTTGTGTTCATTTTTCTTTGGGGATTTTTAATAGTCACTTAGGTCAGTTATATCAATGCTTTGGGAGCATCAATATACTTAACGAATTGCCTGGGAATATTAGTAAAGGGCAAATTCTAATTCAGTAAGGCTAAGATGGGACCTGAGTTTTTGCATTCTTAACAGGCTCAAGGTGATTCCAGTGATGTTCTAAGGACCATTCTTTGAGAAACAAGGACCTAACCTAAATTACTTGTTTCTTTACTGTGAGTTAATCTCAAGTGAAGGACTTCTTGATGGAAAAAGAAAATATAGTCCTGTTCACTCAGGCTGCAGTTTACACAGTTTACAGTTTACTGTGTACCTTTTTTTTTTTTTTTAAAGATTTATTTATTTATACAGGAACTGGGGTACAGGCCAGAGGCACAGGAGGGCAAGAGAATTCACCAGAGACAGAGGGGAACAGAACAGGCAGATGGACCAAAGACACTGCTGAGGGGAGCAGCAGGCGAGACAGGAGAGGTCTGCCGCGCCATGTGGGTTTCTCCCTGGCTGGCGGGGGATCGAACCTGTGGTGCAGAGGCTGTGGACAGCTTCACAGCACGGCACGCAACCCGCTGTGCCACCAGGGAGGCCCTGTACCTTTTTTTAAACTCATACAAGTTTAAATAAAACAAAAACAATTAGACATCTCAGTGCAATCAAGAATCTTTAAATTTCATCACTTTATATAATTGTATAAAATTACTTAGTTTCTCCATTGGTGTAAGTAGCCAAATTTTGAAAGAGTAATGCTGAGGCAACTTATAATTTTCATTTTTGAAAATGATACTGTTTTGATTCTCTTTGATCCAATTTTTTTTTATATAGTAATTTCTGCTAATGACATACTTTCCATTTTTGTTATGGAGGCCATTTTAAAAGCCTTGACTGAAGCTGTACCCATATATCTATTTCACATTTATTTCTCTGCAGGCTCGGGTTCTTTTTGTGATGATTGTGCTGATTCAACTCACCATTCTCATTATTTTTAGGCATCGAGGATTTACAGAACATAAAGGTTAGTCATGGTTCTTTTTATTATTAGAAGAATTTATATTAAAGTATCACATAATGGCCTTACTATTATCAGTTGATGAATATCAATATAAATTGTCTTTGCTTGAGCTCTGTGAGGTACATTCTTCAGACTGTCACAATTTTTCCACAATATGTAATTGGAGAAATCTTAAAAATTTTTCAGTTTTTTTTTTTTTTTTAAAGATTTATTTATTTATTTATACAAGCACTGGGTACAGTCAGAAGCGCGGGAGGGTGAGAGAATTCACCAGAGCCAGAATGGGGAGCAGAACAGGCAGACTGACGAAGTACAGTGGCCAGGGTCCAAAGCGGTACTGCAAAGGCTGCAGGCAGCTTTGCAGCTCAGCGCTCAACTGTTGTACCACCGGGGAGGCTCAGTTTTTCAGTTTTTTGCTGCTACATGTTATTGAAATGAGTCTCTCCCAAAATGGGAGGGAAATACAGTGTAGCTCAAAATGACCAAAAATCTCTGCTAGACATTAAAGCTCCTCTCTAATCTGGTCTTAACTAGCTAACCATAACTTCAACTAGTTACCTGTATCATCCTAGATAATTTTCACTGTTCCCTAATTACTCCATCCTCATTTCTGCTTCTGTGCTTTTGTCCAGACTATTAAAGCTACCTGGAATTATTTTTCTAAACTTATCTCAAATCTGAGTGAACTGACTTATCAGGATTCTTATCCAATTCTGAATTTAAATTGATATCATCTGTATAGTTACATATAACAGATTGCTGAATATGTAGTAGATAGCCCGTGGAAGCCTTCTAGAAAATGTTATAAAGAAGTTGAACTTTGCATGTGTTCACTGGATATTTCAAATTTATTCTATTTAGGACCTCCAGGATTTATAGTTTTGACATCATTTTCCCTTCATGTCTTGAGCAAAATAAACATCTTCTACTATTCTGTGTTGTTGCTGACCTTATACACAGTCCTGGGTAAGTCCTTTAGGAAACCTGAGATTGCAGAGAATTCTACCCAAGATTATATTGAGAATTTTGAAAATAGAGTCATTTAGGTTCTTGAGAACATAACAAGCAGCACATGGCTCCTCTTAAGTCATTTCCTGGAACATGGTCTTGGGAGATAGAATTCTTTCCTGACTTATTTAAAGGACATTTCATTGATACCAAGTAAACTTAAGGGCACCAAGAAGACCATGACAGAATTAATACTTGTGTAGATACCTAATGGATGGAAGTTTAGCTTAAATACCATCTCTTCATGAGAGCCTTCTTTTATTGCCTTAGAGTTTTTCATTTATTTCATTACACTTTTTATTTCCTTTATTACTTTATCTGAATTTATTATTATCTTCTGTGCTTATTTTTTTTTAAAGATTTATTTATTTATGCATACAAGAATTGGAGTACAAGCCAGAGGTGAGGTGGGGATGGAGAGGATCTACCAGAGACAGAGTGGGGAACTGAACAGGCAGACTGACTGAAATACACTGTTGAGGGCAGCAGCGGGCAAGACAGGAGAGGTCTACTGCACCATCTGGGTAGCTCCCTGGCTGGCCAGGGATCGAACTTGTGCTGCAGAGGCTGCAGATAGCTTCACAGTGCTGTGCTTAACCCTTGCACCACCAGGGAGGCCCTCTTATGTACTTACCATCACTCCCCTCGTTAGAATATCCATTAATGTCTTGTCTAACTTTCCCCTCTGTGCCCAGCACTAAGAACAGTCCTTAGTATGTAGTTCAGTTTAATAATTACTAATGTGTGGTTCCTAAAAACTCAACTTAAAAAAGATAGACTATGAAATGAGCAATGAATTTTAAGCATATCTGAGCTCTTCTGTTATATTGATTATTATATCCGATATTTGCAAAGTGAAAGCAGAAAATACTGCAGATATTTTAATGCTCTTTGCGGATGTCTTTTAGTGACTAAAAGTCAATTAGAAGTAGATTATCCTGTATGTTGATTAGTCTTTACACTTTTTTTTTAAAGATTTATTTATCTATTTATTATTTATTTATTTATACATACATACAAGCACTGGGTACAGTGAGAAGCACGGGAGTGTGAGAGAATTTACCAGAGCCAGTGCGGGAAACAGTACAGGCAGACCAATGATACACTGCTGAGGGGAGCAGTGGGCGGCAGGAGAGGTCTGCGCGCCATGTGGGACCCTTGCCGGTGGCTGGGAATCGAACTGGCGCTGCAGAGGCTGCGGGCAGCCTCGCAGCCCAGTGCTCAACCACTGCTCCACTGGGGAGGCCCTACTTTACACTTTCATTCCATCTTTGGGCTTTTCTTTGCACATCAGTAACTCCTACCAGAGAGTAGAACATTGTTAAATTTAAAAGATGACACATTATGATTCTGTGTAACAAGCTAAGGCAGATTCCGCCTGGAGGTACATTTCTTTGTAAGATTGGTTGAAGCTGTTTTACACACTTGTCTCATACTAGGACGCAAAGCAAAAAAACATTAAAAAGGTAGAAGTTGCTTCATTTTAAAGTTAGGACTTGAAAGAAAAATACTTTTTGAGGCCAGTGTGTATCTAATTGAGTTTATATAATATATACCTGAGAAGATGACCTATGGATTTTTAATCCTGAACTCTCATAAGTATTTGCATTTTGAGACAAGATGTCATACTGTATCTTAGTCACTGTTAGCAATATACTAGTTCCAGAAACCTGCACACTGAGAAGGAGCAGTCAATAATAGTACAGAGGAGAGAAAAGTTACTCTGGCATTCTTTATGAAAAATTAAAATAAAGAAGCAAGTCCGGGTTTCCCGGATGGCCTAGGGATTAAGTCTCAGTGCTATCACCGCTATTGCCTGAGTTCAATCCCCAGCCAGGGAGCTAATCCACATATGGTGTAGCATATCTCACCTGTCTCACCTGCTGTATTTACCCTTACTAGTGTGTTTCAGTAAATCTGCCTGTTCTGCTCCCCACTCTGTCTCTGGTGAATCCTCTCACCCCCGCACCTCAAGCCTACACCCAGTTCTATGCAAAAAAAAAAAAAGATAGCTTAACTTTGTACCTGTTATCCCTGAGTAAGGAGTTGATGTACAAAGTAGTAACTGTGGGTCAGCAAGAGAAGGTTAAAGTACATTATTAATATTAATATGAAAAAGAATGCAGTTTGGAAAGATTAAAGTGATTCAAGTTTTATTCTGTAAAGGAGTATCTCAGTTATCTGAAAAATTAATTTCTATGCTTCTTAAAATAAATTAATGTATTATATTGAGGTTATTAGATTCTATCTAATGTATTATATTGAGGTTATTAGATTCTATCGCAAATAGAATCTTCTAAAATATCTAAATGTATTCCAATCTGTTTTGGTGTCCAGAAACTGCATATCTATTCCAGATATAGCATATACTCAAGGTAATTTTAAAATCCAGAGAAATATGGAACAAAGGAAAAAGTTGGTTTGCTAGGACATTGGGTACAGCATACAAATGAGCAAAGAAAGGCTATGGAAATAAAATGCTTATAGATTATCACATATTTCTTCATTATATGCATCTCATGATATGTGTTATCAGAGTCATTGTTATTTAATCTCTTTTCCTGTCCATTGCCTCTTTCAGGACCGTGGTTTGTTGGCGAAATCACTACAGGCAAATTCGGTTGCTGCTTTTCCTTTGGAATCTTTGTCAGTGGGCGTTTCCTACAAGGCAGCCTAACATATGTAGTTGGAATTCTCCAGGTAAGAAGTCAGAAATGTAATTTAGGAACATCTTGGCTTTGTTGGAATCGTTGTGTAACAGTTATGAATTAAATCCAAAACCCCAAATTAAACATCATAGACCATGTTTCCTAATTTAATGGCAGGGCATTCTTTAACTGTGTGTTTGTGTATTTGCACACACCTTTAAAGTGCTTTGCTTTTTTTCCTGTCATTCACTCATAAATATCTAAAATACATTTTTGACTGCAGGGTTTATATTTTGTTTTTGTTTGTTTCACTGTGCCTTTTCATTAACGAAAAATTAAATAAGGGATTTATGGTAGGATAAATGATAGACTTCTGAGTAACCCAAGATTGATTATGAAAGAAGGAAAATGTGCCAGAGGGAGGAAAGAAAATAGACAATGGAGAAAAGTGAGTCAGTTATCCAATGGGAGGTATCCAGGGCAGAAACCAGACCTCAGCTTTTTCGTAATACACTTATTTAATAAATCCTGATGGATTGGGTTTACATTTGGATTGAGTCCTTTAAAACAAACACACAGCAAAAAGTTCTGACTCAGCGAATCTCCATAAATAGGTTTGAAAAGTCCTTACCTAATAATTTATTAACTCACCTAATGGTACTAATGAACCAAAATCAAAAGTGATAATCTGAAATTTTGGAAGAGATACAAAAACATTGCTCAAAATGAGTTCACAACCAGATCAGGAGCATCATAACATGATTAACAGGATTAGAGACAAATAAGAAAGACCACCAATAATGAACCAGAAGATTCTCTGTGTAGCAGCATTTTATATGTGAGTAGGTCTTAGGTCTAGTTTAGTTTTCTATTATGTCGATGGAGGCTGTCTCTCAGGAGCACTCTTTTTTTTAATTTATATATATTTTACATCATTGTTCATTTTTAAACAGTGCCCCTCCCCTCAGGTGTAGTCCCCATAGAATTTCCTTCACGACTTCACCTGTGCACCATCACCACAGCCTGTACTCCTCCCTCTGATCTCTCTCCCTCCTCCTCCTCTGCAAGATGTCTCTGGTTTATAATTGTCCGTTTGTTTTTGTTTTGTTGTGTTGTGTTTTGTATTGTTATTATTTCTTCCCCCTGATGTCTTATTTGGTTCCCCTATATTCCTCCCATATGTGAAAGTATCCGATATTTTTCTTTTTCCTTCTGAATTATTTCACTGAGCATGATGCCTTCTAGCTCCATCCATGTTACTACGAATGGCATTAGTTTATCATTGCTGAATAGTATTCCATTGTGTATATATACCACGTCTTCTTGGTCCAGTCATCTGTTTTCGGGCATTTGGGTTGTTTCCAGGTTTTACCTATTATAAATAGTGATGCAATAAACATAGTAGTACAAATATTCTTTTGAATCAGTATTTTTGTGCCCTTTGGGTAGATCCCTAGGAGTAGAATTGCTGGGTCATATGGTAGCTTCAGGAGCACTCTTATACCAAGTAAAACCTGAGACTTAATGAAAGATGGGTTTGTATTCATATTTTAATAAATAGTACACCGATGGATTTTATGTATATATTTTATATATCAGAGGCCCATGACCCCTAAATCTGTCTCTGACCTAGACCTCTTGTTTGTACTTCAAGTACCTATATATTCAACTGCTATTTCATATCTTTGCTTAGATGTCTAGACATATCAGCTTGATATTATGGAACTAATAGAACTTTTAATTTCTATCCCCAAACTTCTCCTCCCTTTCTTTTCAATTTCCGTAATGGCTCCACCATTCACCTAGTTTCACCAGGATAAATCCCCAGTTCTCCCCGTTCCCTCATACCCTGTATCTAGTTCCCCAGCAAGAATCTTGTTTGATCTACCCTCCAGTACATATCTTGAATCCTCTACTTCTTTCCATCTCTGTTACCACCTCTAGTCTAAGTCATAATTAATTCTTCCCTGGCAAATTTCTTAACTGGTCTTTCCACTGCTGCTCTTGCCTCCCTACTCTCAATTCACCATAGAGCATCCACTGTGGTTTTAAAAAACCTTAATTGGCTCACTCACTCCTCAGCTTAAAAAATGCTTTAAGCAGAGCATTGACATGATATAGGTCCTGCGCTGATTCCCACCTGGCTTATCATGTTCCAGGCTCATTGACCTTAAAAAGGCCAAGACCCCTTCCACCTCTGGGCTTTTCATTTGTTTCTTCTGCCTGGAATGCACTTCCCTCCACAAACTCATTCCTGTCCTTCGGGCCTCCAAGAGTTCATTTCCAGGTTATTCTCCCTTGCTCCAATTCTTTCCTTCATTGAATTTATCACTGTCTGTACTTGTTTATTTTTTAGTTTCTGTTCTCCCATTAGAATGCAAGCTCTATGACATATCCTTTCTGACTTGTTCACCACTATGCCCCTAGCCTTAATGCCTAGCACAGTGCCTGCCACATACTGGACGCTCAATAATTATATGATGAATGAATGAATCACACCACAGCTAAACTTGGATTATAACTTAAATCTTCTAATTTGTATTCCAGTACTCACTATGCCACTTAAATTAAAAAAACCATTAAGAAAAAAAATTGATACCCATATATCCCCCTCACTCTGACCCCCCAAAAGAGTGTGTATTCATTTCCTTTCCACCTGAAACATTATTAAAGACTTTGACATAAATGAAATGATACCTACTTTTTTTTTTTTTTTTTAAGATTTATTTATTTATTTATACAAGCACTGGGTACAGTCAGAGGCGCGGGAGGGTGAGAGAATTCACCAGAGCCAGAGCGGGGAGCAGAGCAGGCAGAAGGACCGAAGTACACTGCTGAGGGGAGCAGTGGGCGGCAGGAGAGGTCTGCGCGCCATGTGGGACCCTCCTCCGGTGGCCGGGGAGCAGCTGGGGATCGAACTGGCGCTGCAGAGGCTGCGGGCAGCTTCGCAACCCAGTGCTCAACCGCTGCGCCACCGGGGAGGCCCGAAATGATACCTACTTTTAAGATGAACAAAAAGATACAGGCAAATACACAACTAATTACAAGTCAACAATTGTATTATAAGCAAGTAGAGTGAAGCATAAAGAATCACAATCCCCAAGAGAAAAAGCAACATATTCTTAGGGACCACTAATAATGTGCTAATGTGACCCTGTAACCTGGAGTCCCGTCCACGGACTTGCTAGTAGGCTAATGGTTTTGTTCTTCTCCTCATTTCAGCTGGTGTTTTTTAACATCCCCTTGATGGCTTACTTGTGTTGGAGCTTGCTGCAGCGGTGCTTTGGCCACAACTTCACGTCTCATCTCCGCCAAGGGACATACTTGAAAATTATACCTGTTCACCTGTTTATGCTACTGATGTACATCTGGCAGATTTATTCCTGCTACTTTCTTCATAAGACATATGGCACTATAGCTCTTTTATTCTCTCCTTTGCGGACCTGGTTGACACTGTTGACACCTGTTCTCATTCGTTCTGTGTGGACACTGAACTCCACCAAGCTTGGAACCTTCGTAGGGCAGTTAAAAAGTCACCTGAGTTCCTGAAGGCCCTGTCTCACCATATGCATCTGCAGCCCTGGCCTCTGCCCCAGCAGCAGGTGGAAGGCCAATATTAGTGGGTGACCTTCTGGGATCAACCACTCCTTGAACTCCCTGCAGTTGGGTGAATTAATCCACTACTGATTCCTGCAGAATGGACTGCAGAAAAATCTCAAAATAATGCCATGATTCCTTCCTTCCCCAGGAAGGCAAAGGGTTGATTTACTTTGTGAAGAGAAAGCCTTAATCTGGGACATCCTCAGGACAAGGGCTAGGTATATGTATGGGCATATCTAAGGCCTAGTGTGTTTTTAGGGTTACCTCATGTAAAATACCTAACACTGTGTCTGGAACTGGACAACCGTCAAGGGGCAAGTGCAAACTTGAACCCAGCCCTGACTATCCTTGTTATATTAGCTCCAAGTTCTCTTTTCCTGAAGGATTATGGGCTCTGCTTCCTAGTCGGGGGTGTTTTCAACTAATCGAATAAATGAATGATGAATGAGAAAGAACTCCTACTGGCTTGTTGGAAGGGGTTGTTGCAAGACGGAGTGAGGCGGAGCCTGCATCCCAGGGGCGAGTGGGCGTGGCCTGGGGCGCGAGGGGGCGTGGTCACGCTGGGGGCGGGCGGGCGTGGTTGTTGCCGGAAGCGAGCGCCGAGTCGCTGACGCCGGAAGTGGGGTGGCTGCCGTGACCGGGCGCCGGGCGAGCCTCTGTGATGGCGAGCGCCGCTGGCCCTGCGGCCGCTCAGCCCGGCTTGGCGCCGCCTTTGGAGCAGCTCCGGCACTTGGCAGTCGCGCTGCGGCTGCTCATGTCGGGAGTGCGGGGTGAGCTGGCGCGGTGGGGACGGGCAGAGCCCAGGCCCAGCGTGGGTGCGGCCGGGGCGGGGGCGGGCGGAGGGCTGGGGCGCAGGTGGCCCCGCTCACCTCAGCTCTTCCTCTTGCTTCCGTCCTCACGCCACTTCGCTAGTCGGCGAAGCCCGCGAGACCACCAAGGAGTTTAATCGGGAGACGTTTTGGAGAAGCCTCAGTGAGTGCCTGCCGTCGCCGCCTCCCGCTTCTCGCCCCAGCGTCCCGACCCCTCCTCCTCCCTCTCGCTCCCCCCGCGGCGGCGCCTTCTCTGTGGGGTTACCTCACCCCGCCCGTCCTCGGCACCTCAGAGGCTGAAGCGTGAAACAGTCATCGTCGGAGGGTGTTTTCTGAGACCCGGCCGGCGGGGGTGGCGAGGGAACACGTTGGCTTAGAGCCCGGCAGGCGGCTGCAGCCCGTCCTTTGGGCACTAACACCAGCCTCTCGTCACCCCTTAGATGAGGCCGCCGTGGTGGTGTCGAAGGAGGCCACGACGCTCACCGCTGTCTTCTCTCGACTCCCCCTGCCGTCTCCACAGGTGGGCTTTGCTTTCCAGGAGTCCCTGGGCTGCCTCTGTTCCCTGGGAACTCCCGCATTTTCCTTCCACTTTCACACTAAAGCCAGGTGGTTTATTTTCCTCATCTGTCAAATGAGATTGTTCGGGCTTCTCAGGAGTGTGACGACCAATTGCCCAGTGCAGTGCCTGACAAGAACTAGGCAGGCCCTATAAATGTATTAGTTCAGTCTGAAGTTCTTCCTGGTTATTTCCTTTCTTGTAATTATTTTTTAAGCACTTGCTGTTTACTAGGGGTTTTCACATACCATGAGCAGGTTCTGAGGCTTGGGTTAAGGTAATAAACAGTGGAGGTTGGATTTAAATTAGAGCCTATCTGATGTCTAAGCTACATCTTTCCTGCTGCACTACATAAAGCCCTTTTTATATTGAATTTTAAAAATATTTAATCAGTAATATGGATAGTTAAAATTCAAACGATAACAAAGTTATGTGTGCTAAAAGTTTTTGTCTTCCCTCTCCATTCCTCATTTTTGTCGCCTCTCCCCTTTTCCTTTTGTATTACTCAACGCATATGCTATACATACACATATTTATTTATACATATGTGCTTTTTATAAAAAAAAAAGATACCATAAACATTTTTCTGGACCTTTTTAAAATAATTAACATCATAATTTGCAAGTTTTTTTTTTTAAGATTTTTATTTATTTATACAAGCACTGGGTATAGTCAGAAGCGCAGGAGGGTGAGAGAATTCACCAGAGCCAGAGTGGGGAACAGAACAGGCAGACCGACGATGTACACTGCTGTGGGGAGCAACAGGCGGCAGGAGAGGTCTGCGTGCCATGTGGGACCCTTGCCAGGTGCCAGGGATCAAACCCGGTACTGCAGAGGCTGTGGGTAGCTTCGCAGCCCAGTGCTTAACCAATGCGCCACCAGGGGAGGCCCTGCAAATTAAAAAGTTTATAATTGGTCAGAGCTTATTTTGCAAGATCAAGTGTCTAGTGTTGCTTTTCCAATGTAATAAAAGTTTGTCAGGCAGAACCTGGGGGAAAAAAATCCAGTAGAATTGCTGGAACGGGGCCTCCCCGGTGGCGCAGCGGTTGAGCGCTGGGTTGCGAAGCTGCCCGCAGCCTCTGCAGCACCTGTTCGATCCCTGGCTACTCCCCGGCCCTGGAGGAGGGTCCCACATGGCGCGCAGACCTCTCCTGCCGCCCGCTGCTCCCCTCAGCAGCGTGCTTCAGTCCTTCTGCCTGCTCTGCTCCCCGCTCTGGCTCTGGTAATTCACTCACCCTCCCGCGCTTCTCACTGTACCCAGTGCTTGTATAAATAAATTTAAAAAAAAAAAAAAAGAATTGCTGGAACGAAGAATATATGCATTTTTAATAACCTTTTATTATAAAACAAAATGAACATTGACTGTGACCATGTATGCCCTATTCCCAGTTTTTCTAGAACTAAATAAGCTTAGCTTGAGAGTAAGATTATTTGAAAATGGCATATCACTTGATTTTCATAGTCACTAGTTTTATTCTCTTTCTCAGTCTCGATATCCAGATGTCTTAAAATGAAAAAAAAAAAGTTCTTTTCCTGCACCTACAATAAATGATAAACTCTCGCCCTATACTTCAAATATCTGTGATGAAAAAACTAATTGTATGAAAGCATTTTATTTTTTTTTAACACTTTTTTTTTTTTATTTATAGAGGCATGTTTTTATTTATTTATTTGTTTGTTTTGTTTATACATGCACTGGGTACAGTCAGAAGCGCGGGAGGGCGAGAGAATTCACCAGAGCCAGAGCGGGGAGCAGAGCAGGCAGAAGGACCGAAGTACACTGCTGAGGGGAGCAGCGGGTGGCAGGAGAGGTCTGCACGCCATGTGGGACCCTCCTCAGGTGGCCGGGGAGCAGCTGGGGATCGAACCGCTGCGCCACAGAGGTCGCCGGCAGCTTCGCAACCCAGCGCTCAACCGCTGCGCCACCGGGGAGGCCCTGTATGAAAGCATTTTAAAAGATTTGTGGAAGAACGTATTTCAGAGAATAGTAATATTACCTTATTTTTCTAATCTGCTGCCTCCTTTCAGACACACTTAGGACTTGTTGCTAAAATTCACAGATAGTAAGATACCATGAGAACAGAGCATTTTCTGGCTATACTCAGAATGGTGGTTTCACTCATAGATAAAGAGTCAGAATTTTCTAATGTAATAAAAGTTTGTCAGGCAGAACCTTGAATCTTAGGATCTTGGCACATTACTCCTACTGAAGGGTGTTTTGGGAGGTTTTTTTTTTTTTTTTTTTTTTCATTCCAATCCATATAGATTGGTATTTTTTTAAATTATGTGTTTGGATATTGAGGCAATGTCTTATTACCATATCAGTTTCTAAACACACTCAATCACTGTACTTATCCACCCCAAACTGGTAAGTTTATAGACTGTCATTAATCTGCAATAGCACTGGCACAGAATTTAGCAGAGACATGAGGACAAGGAAGATAAGAGAAAGTCAGTGACTACTTAAAAGGAAAATAGTCAACATTGAGCATTGCACAGTCCATTTTAATTACTTTAGGTATATTATGTTTCTACTAGAGACTAATATAAATATTTTAGGCCCTGCAGGCCAACTACTCAACTCTGCTCCTGTGTGAATGCAACTATAGAAAATATATAAACTGTATCCCAGTAACACTTTATTTACCAAAACTGGCAGTGGGCCAAAGTTTTTCAACTTCTGGTCTAAGATACGGTGAAGATCTCAGAGGTGATCATGCATATCTTGGAATATAGAGTATCAGAGAAACGTTTTTCTTGTTTCTTCATGTTTTATTGAGTTATCAGTTTAGTATCTTGTGTCCAGTTAACTCCTTCTGGTATGTGTTAAGAACAGTACAATAGGACTTTGGAACATGTTTGATGATCTAATCCGTTTCCTTTTTTCTTTCTAAAATTGGTCCATCATCTCATAGGAAACCCAGAGGTTCTGTGAACAAATCCATGCTGCTATCAAGGCAATTATTGCAGTATACTATTCCTTTCCCAAGGATCAGGGTAAGCCTCTATGTATGCATACATGTTCGATTTACAGGATAAATTTTTGCTAATATGTCAGCCAAAGCCCTGAAACTTTTACCTTTCCTTCAGCTTGAGCGTGTAACTACCCTATAATATGCAGCAAGGATGGTTTTATAAAATAAATGACCTCCATAAATAAACCTCTGTGCTAAGGAGTAGATACTGTGTTCTCATCTCCCCTGCCTTGCCTGACTGTAAGGTTTTTAATTTTCATTGGTTCTTCCCTCTCTAACCTGCTAAAGATACCACAGATGCTGATTGGATCTCAGACCCAGTCACCTTCCTCATACCCTATTGCTGACCTCCCTTATAGGTTAGGTGATCTCCAGCCCGGCCTGTAGTTTATGCCTTGGTTATAATCATGCCAAAATTATAAATGAACACATGCTTCATGGATCCTAGGGTGACTCACAAATGGTTTAAACTTCAAGTGTTTACTCCACAAATGTCAAGGGACCACTATTCTTAATGAATACATAATGTCACAGAAAGATTTTGTTCCAGATCTCTTTTGGAGAACAGCCTAATGAATCATGGGAGGTATAAGAAAATGACATAGGGATATAAATAATACTTGAGTTTTATATTGGCATTCCAGTAAAACATGTGGGTGCACGTTACCTCAAGTTCTATAGTGCTTAGACTCTCAGGAAAGCAGATGGTACTTTCTGGAAAGATAACAAGGCTGTTTACTTTTTTGGTTCGGCTGTAGGAATTACCCTGAGAAAGCTGATACGGAGCGCCACTCTGGACATCATGGATGGCATGGCTCAGCTTGTGGATGTGCTTGTCATCTCTCCACCTCAGAGGTAGTGATGCCACACTTGGGTCATCAGTTAATGGGATTCCTTGCTTCAGAAAGGGGAAAAACTCATTTAAACAGAAAGTTACTGAAGTTGAGAATAGTGACTATCAGGAAGGAGCTTTTTAGGAGACAGGAACCTAGGTTATTGATATATTCTTACTGATTCCTTTCCCTAGCCCCGAGAACAGTGACCTTATTTCCTGCAACAGTGTCTGTGTTGCATGCCAGCAGGTGCCTCGGATACCAAGAGGTGAGTGGGAAGTGGGTTATTGACTTTTTTGGCCAAAGCAAACAGACCTCTCATGTCTGGCTTCCAGTTTTGTAGCATTTGTGTATTTAAACTAGTGGAAAGGTATAGTTTATCACCAACAGCATAAATTAGGTGTTAGTACTTTCACCAGTCTTTTCTGATCTCATACTTCTAAATTCAAACTCCCTGTATACTGTGGCGCTCTCTTGTTGAACAAATAGGTCAAGAGCAGTATGTAGGGGCACATTCAAGCAGTTACTGTGTAGAGCCACCTATAGTGGTTATTCAAGAAGACCATGATGAGAAACCTCATGTGACTTTGTAAATGGCAAAAAGCTTTTTAGCTTCCTGTCTGGGAACCCAGAGGATGAATGTGAGAAAATTTTACATTAGGTTTCCACTCTTGTTGACTCTCCTTAGCTGTTCCTTCAAATGAGAATGCAGTTGGTTGCAGACAGGAGAATTGTTGGATTTCTCCTTTAATTCTAGTGGTTTTTATTTTCAATTTTCATTCATAGATAATAAGGCTGCAGCCCTTTTAATGCTGACGAAGAGTGTGGATTTTGTGAAGGATGCACATGAGGAAATGGAGCAGGTGAGGAGACTGTTTTTGCTGGTCATTGGAAGGCAGCTCTGTGACTAGTGGATGAGGATTGAGAGATTTCCTGTGTATTGACTTTCGTGTCCCATCTTCCACCACATGTGGAATTGTGTGATTTAGGGACACCCTTCTCTGTTCCCTCACAGGACTAAGAGAGTGAGAATAGGGTTTTTGAAATTGTTCAACTCTATTGCCATTAATAAAGTGGCTGCTAAGATTTTGGAATGACTCAGACATGATGCTGGAAGTTTAATAGCTCCCTCCCCCCTTTTTAACATTCATCTATATCATCTATATCTCAGGCCATGGAAGAATGTGATCCTTACTCTGGCCTCTTGAATGACACTGAGGAGAACAACTTTGACAATCATAGTAATGAAGATGATGTGTTGGGGTGTCCAAACAACCGAGACTTATATTGGTCAGAGGAAGATCATGAGCTCCTAATCCCATGCCTTGCACTGGTGAGAGCATCCAAAGCCTGCCTGAAGAAAATCCGCATTTCAGTGGCAGAGAATGGGAAGAAGGACCAGGTGGCCCAGCTGGATGATATTGTGGATATTTCTGATGAGATCAGTCCTAGGTAAGTGTGATTCCCCACGAGAAACATCTGAACAACAGCATTCTGAGCTCATTGTTTTTCTGTCACCCCAAGGTGTTTCCCCAGCTTCTTGTTTCAAAAGTTTATAAACTTAGAGGAAAGTTGAAAAGTATTGCGGTGAACACCCATAGAGTCTTCATCTAGGTTCACCTAGTGCTCACATTTTTTTCCTATGTTGGTTTATTTCTCTACTGATAGATGTGCCATTTTTTTCTCTGAACCATTTGAGAATAATTTGCAGACATCAGTGACCCCTATATACTTCAGTATATGTGTATATGAAACATCATTAATCATAATGTTATCTGACATTCAGATTTCCCTAGTTTTCTCTAAAATGTCTTTTGTGACTTTTTTTTAAAATCCAGGTTTCTTTCAAGGTCTCACATTGCATTTGGTTGTATCTCTACAGGGATAACTAGAACAGTCCCTGTGCTTCATAGTCTTTTTTTCATATTGACATTTTTAAAGGATCCAATTCAGTCTTATAGAATATGCAACAAACTAGATTCATGTGATTGTTTTTTCATGATTATAGATTATATTCAGGTTAAACATTTTTTGGTAAGAGTATCACTCAGTTGAGTATTTTATGCTTCTCATTGCATTTTTATTGGGAAGGCATATGATGTTAGTTTGTCCTGTTAATGGTAGTGCTAATTTTGATCACTTGATTAATGTGGTGCTCAATATAGTAGCACTCCAGGGGTGAGCTCCACCTGTGTCAATTATTAAATTGATGGTTTCAGATTCTTACATTTTTAACTGAATTAATCATGTCCCATACTATGGGCAAGGGAGATACCCCCTCAAGCTTCCTAGTGAAAGGTGTATGTATGTGCTTAGTAAATACCACATGAATTGAATCCTTATTGCTTGCCTGGCTGCCCAGTTTAAGGAACTGATAGGTATTTGGGGGACAGTCATTTTCTTAGTAGTAACATCCTTAGCTGTGCAGTAGCTAGCTGTCATCTAGGTAATCTTTGGACGCTTTTTGTTTGTTTGTTTTTGTTAATGGTTACTTTTGCCTTCTGCCCTTAGTGTGGATGATTTGGCTCTGAGCATATATCCACCTGTGTGCCACCTGACTGTGAGAATTAATGTAAGTACCAGCATTCAGGGAATAAATGCAGACCTAATTGGTAGAATTTCACTAATCAGTAGTATTTTCTTTAAACTGTAGGGAGTATAGTTACATTTGGATGCAAGCACAATAGTAATGCCACACATCTTACATGTGTTTGTGCTAATAAATACTTACTGAGTTAGTTATAATAGCCATGGGCTTTAGTAGTGCTCTCTACCCCATAACCACTTGGGTAATTATTTTAAAAAATCCAAAGACCTTAGAAAATACAACTTTGAAAAGAAAGTCTTAAAATACCACAATGCTTTAGGATTCTCTCAACCTGAAGTCACAGGTTTCTAATTTCTAGGTTAGCAAGAAATAAATGTCCCAGAAATATACTGCTCTGATATAAACACATTGTGATTTAACCACGAAGGGTCAAGCTCCTTTTTACAAAAATCGGATTTCATTGTATTCTTCCAAGTACTGAGTCTTATGCTAGCAAGAGTTCACTTCTCTTATTTTCATACTTAAGTTCTTATATCTAATGCTATTGAAAAGATAAGTAAAACTGTCGTGTGACTTATATTTACAATTAGATGAATCAGCCCTAAAAATATTTGATAAATTGGATAGTGGAAATTAGACATGTCAAATGTATCTACCTTTTGGGTATTAGCATTTTTTTACATTCATCTTTTAAAATATTAGTTTCCTAATAAACATCTTTAGCAATATGCCTTTTCAGTTACTCCAAATAAAAATTTGAGATATGTGCTATTTATCAGTGGCATACATACGTCCTCATGTTACCTTATTAAAATTATATTCATAGATTTTTTTTTTTTAAAGGAGCATTAGTTTTTTCTGCTACATAGTCTAACCTATCAGCAGAAGAGACAAATTTAGATGAAGGCTTCCTTTTTCTGTTTCCTTTATTTGAAATGTTTTCAGTTAAAAAACCTTACAGGGCCTCCCCGGTGGCGCAGCGGTTGAGCGCTGGTTGCGAAGCTGCCCGCAGCCTCTGCAGCGCTGATTCAATCCCTGGCTGCTCCCTGGCCACCGGAGGAGGGTCCCACATGGCGTGCAGACCTCTCCTGCCGCCCGCTGCTCCCCTCAGCAGTGTACTTCGGTCCTTCTGCCTGCTCTGCTCCCTGCTCTGGCTCTGGTGAATTCTCTCACCCTCCCACGCTTCTGACTGTACCCAGTGCTTGTATAAATAAATAAATTAATTAATTAATTAATGTTTTTAAAAAAAAAAAAAACCTTACAAAAATGTTATAGTGATAGTAAGATTTTGCTAAATAGAAAAAAATCCCATAACTCCATTGCTGTAATCAGCATTTTTGTTTTTAAATATTTCCCTTAAGATTCTTTTTTTTTTTAAATTTTATAGAGGCATGTTTATTTATTTGTTTGTTTGTTTGTTTTGTTTTGTTTATACATGCACTGGGTACAGTCAGAAGCGTGGGAGGGTGAGAGAATTCACCAGAGCGGGGAGCAGAGCAGGCAGAAGGACCGAAGTACACTGCTGAGGGGAGCAGCGGGCCGCAGGAGAGGTCTGCGTGCCATGTGGGACTCTCCTTTGGTGGCTGGGGAGCAGCTGGGGATCGAACCGGCGCCGCAGAGGCTGTGGGCAGGTTCGCAACCCAGCGCTCAACTGCTGCGCCACCGGGGAGGCCCTCCCCTAAGATTCTTTAAAAAAATTTTATTTGAGTCTTTTAAACTATTTTTGTTTTCCTTTTGTTTTCATGGTAGGGTTCCACATGAATAAATTCTCTGTTTCTTTTCTAGTCTGCGAAACTTGTATCTGTTTTAAAGAAGGCGCTTGAAATTACAAAGTGAGTATGAAGACTTCTCCCCAAGTAGCTTTTTTACTCTTTCCATCACTTTTCAACTCCCAAATCCCCATTTCACAAATTGAAAGAAGGTGGGTATGGTGTTTTCTTTTGACTTCCAATAGTGGAGCCCCTGAATTTCTGTATAGAAAATTGATTTTTTCTTATTATAGTTTCCATGAGCTCCCTATTAAAGATAGGTCTTTCCCTGACAGTATATTAATTTTAATTCCTGTCTGTTTCCTGTTCTCACAGAGCGAGTCATGTAACCCCACAACCAGAAGATAGCTGGATCCCCTTACTTGTTAACGCTGTTGATCATTGCATGAACAGAATCAAGGAGCTCACTCAGAATGAACTTGAATTATGAGTTTTGAGGCTCATACATACCACTCTTTCCTTTTCTTACTGTCACAGGTAGGATCTGATGTCTGCTTTTAAAAGGGGCTTAGGATGATTCCTGAATCAAAAGGGCATTCCTGGCTATACTTACCAAGAGACACTTTATCAAAGATGGTTGGTTTTACAAGACTGGCAATTATTTATAAACCATATAAATTTATTTTTATGTGCTAGATACAAAAGGTAATCGCATGAGTTTGTGCTTCTGAATTGCCTTTTAGAAATTCCTGGGGAAATTGCCTTATTCCCTATTTGCAATAAAGAGTGTTATTTCACTGTTAAAAATGTTGAGAGTCTTAATAAAATGTTGACCTGCCAGTGGTTAAATGCGTACCCTTCCAAAGTTTGTTTCTACCAGAAATTCATTGGGTTGGGATTAGAACATAGCTTTTATTTGGGTTTATAGGTCTAAAAATCTGGTTATGATCACAAGTATATTTCAAGCAAAAACACTTGACTTAGTTTAGAGAAGATGACTCAAAGCCCTCTTACTATTTCAGCGTGTTATATAATACCATTATTCTTATCAGTGAATCTTTCTGAATATAATTCCAGGTTAGTCCATGCCTCTGAAGCTTTTTTATATGGAGCTCATTTGGTTTTTGTCCACCTAATTGAACATATTTTCCTTATACATAACTGTATTATTGTTTTCTTTTATATATTACATGTCTCCCCCAAAAGTAAATACAAAGATTTTATAAATCAAAAATTTTAAATGTATAAGAAGGTTTCTGTAATTTTAAGGGCCTCTTTAGTGAATCCTTTGGCAGAATCATCACCACTTCAATTATATTTTTGCATTGGCCTGGAAAGTTACATATTGAGAAGCAAGGTAAACCTCTAGTGATGCGTATTCTGGTGAGTTAATGTGGGCCTTATGCATGTACCACATGTTTCCACAACCTTTCAATCCACTCCTCTCCCTTGGATAAGCGTAGTTCACCACATCAACTCTTCTTATGTCCCTTTAGTCTCTTTAGGTATAATCAGCAACAGTAGCCTTTCTTTTGCTCAACTAGTGTGTACTGGCATTGAAATTCCTTAAGTCAAATGAGTTTTAATTTACTTTTATAACGTGCCATTCTATTCTTTCAACAAATATAAAAAAACTAAAATCAAATAAGAGTGCACCAAAACAACAATGAATTAGAAAAAATCATAACTTTGTACAAAAGCAATTCAACTCTTATTTTTTTATAGGGCCTATTTTCTATGTACTAAATTTTTGTATTTCTCTACTGAGAACAAATTACTGAGTAACAAATTCATGTTATCAAACTTTAATTGTAGGATACTTAATGAATATAGCAGTCTGATAAATATTTGTCTGTAGCTGAATCTCAAATATCATTCTCCTCCTAGGTTCTATGTTGTATATTTTATGACTTTGCTCTATCATATATCTTTAAGGATAATGGTCAGGGATAACACTGATCAGTGTAATCTTAGGATTACCTAAAAAGTCCATTTTTTTTTTTTATTGAGGAAACATTGGTTTATAATGTTGTATATGATTTACTCCTTCAGGTGGTACCATACCAGACCTACCACCAAAACAGCCATAGTTTGTTCACCACCATAGTCCATTGTGCTCCCTCCCCACTTTGTCCTGTCCTCTCCTGTCCCCTCTGTCTCCTGGTAGCCTCAGTTCTAGATTTCTAGACTTTGTTACTAGTTTGGCTTTATCTGATCCTTTTTCTGTATTCCATGTTTAAGTGACATTCTTGCAACATTGTCCTACTTCATCAGAAAAATGAAAATGATTTACATGTTCGTGAGTAGTAAAATGGTTAAGAAAAACCTTGAACCCCCAAAATCTGAAGTACCTTTTCAAAGGCTTCCTTTTGTCGCTCAAACCTAGTAGTTTCTACAACATTCTAGAATTTTTATTCTAAGACACATTCTAATACGACTAGTCTTCACACAGCTGCCTTAAGCTGGAGTAACAGAAATGAGTGTCTTTTCCTATTGATTTATGGGAATCTAGTTTTGTTCTTTGTCACTCTTCTCCTCAATTTGAATAGAAATTCACTTGTTTGATAACTAGTTTGGTTTTAGATTTTAGATTCCAGAGGGTGCCTGGGGAAAGTGATGCTAGAGCTGGAAGTTTAAGCTGGAAGTTCAGGGGCTACCACAGTGACATTTCTGTAGTTGGTTAGGTTCTGGAACATGTTGCAGTCCATTTCCACAATGAGCCTCTGGACCCCCACGTGCGTTGGTGTGAAGTGGAACTGGGTACGCAAGGTATTTCCAGGCCGCACTGAACCTAGCCTGCAGTAAAAGAAAAAGTAGTTCTGTTCAGGTTCATTGCTTTACTGGTCCCAGTGACTTTGATCTTTCTGTACTTGAAGACGTGGAATGTGAAGAAATGAACATCTAAGAACCTTGCTATTGAAAAGAGGCAGTTTTAAGGAGCTAGATGACAGGAGTCTCCCTGTAGTTAACAGTTGCATGGTTGAGAAGAGAAACACCCTATTCTAAGGGCTTCCACACTGAATGTGTTGTTTTTTTAATCACCTGTGACTTCAGTCTGGTCCAGTTTTTAGTAGTGGGACTGGGGTATGTTTTGAAGAGCTATGATTCTGGAACCCTCACTTACTGATTGCTAACTGCAATAGGTAGAATAGGCATTTTGAGAAGATGTTTACTATGTTCAGAAGTGGTGTTTGGAACTCTGTCACAACCCCACCCTGCCTGTGAGCTTTCTCTTGGTGACTGAGGGAAAAGTACGAGTTTCCTTTGAGGAGCTTCATCCCAGAATTGATCTGGGAGACCACAAAAATCTAATAAATGATGGCAGCCCTTCCTCTCAACTTGTTGGCAAGCAACTCACTGAGTTTCATGAGAATGAATCAATGGCTCAGTAACCAGACAACCCGTCAAGGACCTCAGGAAAGGTAGGAGAAGGCCTCAACCCTCAACTGTACATTGTGTACACTATTCAACACAAGGTGCAGGGGCATAACAAGAGGAGGCTAATGAAACATTTTTGTGACATTTGAAAACCAACAAGGGACTAATATTTAGACTATACAGAGAACTCCTGTAGATCAACAAGGAAGAAAGACAGGACCACCAAAAGAAAAGTAAACAAAGATTAAAGGAGGAAACAAAAAAGGCTAACAACATGAAGAGTTACAAATTAGCACAATAAGGTATTACTTCATTTCTTTTAGACTGGAATAATATTGCCAAGAGGGAGGAGTGGTAGGAATACAGGAACTGTCATATCCAGTTGGGAGGAGCCCAGGCTCCTCCAGCCATTCTGCAAACAAATCTGATAGCACCTGGTCAGACCAAGTCATATCCTATCATCCAGCAGTTCCATCCCTGGCATAAATAATCACTGCCTCCCCCAAAGTTTCCAACCAGTATGTAAGGGTCATGTGTGAGGATGGTCATTGCAATAGTATCGTGGTGTTTAAGAGTTGGAGGCACTGTGGGTGTCCATCATTGTGGAGGGGAGTGGAGTGGTAGGAACTAGGGGATATGTGGAATGTTATATAGCAGAAGCTACGGATTTGACATGTGGACGAATCACAAAAACACAGTTTTAAGAGAAAAGTTAGGAAAAGTTCAACATAATATTATTAACTTAAAATACAGGCTCATGAAAAATAGTGCACGTTTTATACACACTAACAAAAGGAGGTGGGAATGGGAGTGGGACGTAGGAATACAAGGGGGTAGTTGAATAAATAAAATTCTATATTGTGAACACAGCTACCCAAGAGGCAGCCTCCCCACCCTGTGAAATTCTCTAGTAGTCAGCCTTAACCCCATCACCTAGAATCACCAGCAATCACCTGCATGACTAGGGTAGCAACCAGGGTCAGGTGGGCACCCAAAGGACACCCAGTCTCCCTTACTCCTAGCCCTATAGACATGGGAGTTCCAGGATGAGAGAGGTTCAGATCCTTTAGTTCAACTTCTGGGAGTATTTACCCCCTCCTTTCTGACCTGTTGAGTTGTGTCAGTAGGATGAGAAGTTTGTAGTCTCTTACCTGTAGCTCCTCTCTTTGTGAATGAGCCCCCTTCCAAGAATGGTGATCACACAGTCCTTCATGGGAGCGTCTAAGGAGTTATGAATGCTGACTGAGGCGGTGAGAGGTTGATACTGCTTTGCAGTCTCTGGCATCTGTGGGAAAGGGCAAAACCTGGAGCATAGTCTAAGAACAGAGTGGAAGTCATTCCTCCTCCTGGGAACCCTGTTTATGCCCCCTCAGTTACTCTCCTTTCTCTGCCATCTTGACCCAAACTCTATAGCTAGCTTCCTTACGTCTCTAGCTGGTCTTCCTGACTTTACTCTTCAACCTTGATTTTATTGACTCATCACTGACCATCTTTGATGGTACCTTTCTTCCACTTAGAAACCTCAGAGGTTTCCATTTTCTTCACTTGATGAAACGACGTCCCAGCCATTTTGGGCAATTTCCCATCCTCAGCACAACCCTCAGACCCTCTTCCTTTGGGTCTCTTTGCACAGTCTTCTGCCTGCGGGGACCTAATTTACCACCTCTGCACTAAAAACTCATCCATTTTCCAAGGCCCAGCAGAAATGCTAACTCCTACATGAAATCATCAAACCACTAAACTAAAGGGGAATTAATCCCCTTTTCTTCACTTAGCTCATAGCAAATTTTTACCTCTATTAAAGCACTTCCATAAAAGACCAAACACTTCGCTCTCATTCAACTAGACAGGGACAAGATCACATTCCATTTGATCAGGGTAGATATGTGGAACTGGACCAAGAGCCCCAAACTGCTAAACTCCCATTTTATGATCTTGGATATATTGTTACCTAGGACTATTTCTTCATCTAATATTGGGAACAATTCCATCTCACAGGGCTTTTGTATCAAAAGAAAAAACCAACTCAAAATGAATAAAAGAATTGAATGTAAGACTTGAAACAATAAAATATGTAGGAAAAAACAGGCATACATCTGGGAAACAGATACATACATCTGAGAAACATCTTTGAAACTTATCCCCAGAAGCAAAGAAAATGAAGGAAAGGAAAAACAGCAGAGACTACATCAAACTAAAAAGCTTCTACACAGCAAAAGAGACAGTAACCAAAACGAAAAGACACCCCACGGGATGGGAGAAAATATTTGCACATCATGGAACTAATAAAGATATCAAAGATCTACAAAGAGCTTATACAACTCAACAAAAACAAACAACCCAATCAAAAAATGAGCAGTGGACCTAAAAAAACACTTTTCAAAAGGAGAAATGCAAATGGCCAACAGGTATATGAAAAAATACTCAACATCATTTATAATCAGGGAAATGCAAGTCAAAACCACAATGAACCTCACACCAGTGAGAATCGC